AATTATCTATAGAGGAGTTCCTAACTTAAGGAGTAACCTAGTACATAGTCATCTTAATAAGGAACAACAGCAAAGAAACCCATTTAATGGGGAGGGAGGCTTCTATGGCTGCAGAAATTGCATAGCCTGCACTAACACCAAGAACAGGAAGAGGCATGTTAAAGATTTCACACATCCCCAAAATAAAGATAAATTCCAAATAAATCAACTAATCACATGCCATTCGAAAAAAGTGATCTATGTAATAACTTGCACATGTGGGCTTATATATGTGGGCAGAACTGCTAAGACCTTATATATAAGAATCCAAGAACATGTCCGCAACATAAAGATTGGATTTGAGAACCATAGCCTCTCCAACCATTTTAGGTTGAAACATAACAAAGATCCTAGCCAACTTGTATTTTTTGGGCTACAGCAAAGTGTTACCAATTGGAGAGGGGAGGATCTCATCACTGCTATGGGGAAAGTGGAGATGAGATGGATTTTCACTTTGAATTCTCTCCTCCCCCGTGGCCTTAACAACGATTTTGAACTTTTTATGAAATTGATCTATTATTATTTTATAGATACATTTTTTTTACATATTTTTGAATTGAGTGTACCCCCATACATATTTTTTTATTTATTTTTTATCATTCTTTGGTTTATGTTTACCATATGATTCATTTTAACATATCTATTTATATTTTTATGTACATATATTTATTTGGATGGACTTTCCCACTTAGATCTGCTGATTTTCATTTATCCCTTATCTATCACTATGGATATTGTTTAGGGGCCTCTCTCTTTAAGTATTAACATATGTCTAAACTTTTAAATTTAACAATATCTTGCAAACAAACTCTAATTTTCTTGTCTCACTGTTTATACTATTATATCTCTGCATATCCGAGTACTATTCACATCTAAGGGCTCTTATACCCTCAAATATGGACATGGCATCGTATTAATCCAGCACAGAATCACCAGTAAGTAAAATGGTGAAACGGAACCCGGACGTGACGGAAGGATCGTAACGTCACCTCTGGTACACTGATGACTACGATCAGCTGGTGATCAACATGATGAAAATGGATAGGATAGCATAATTTTAAACGAACAAACGAGACAACACCAGGATATATAAAGACAAAGAGGTCATATGAATGGATCACTTCAATTGAAAAAGCCAGCGAAACGCGTCTCGAACAGGTCAGCAAGTGCAAGGACTCTTTATTACTGTTTTTACATTTATTTAATGTTATTTTATTTATATTTTTTTTGAATAAATAAGATCATTTGGATCTTTTAAATATACCTTGCTGTTGCCTCCATCCATTCCTAAAGAAGGCTTACCCCCCTTAGCGGGTAACAAGCGATCTTTCCTAGAGCCAGGTTCAATAGGCTCTGGATCAGGTGAGCAACATACTGATATTTATGTGCTTGACCTTTTGCCAGTACATGATTCACTCAGAAGATATCCTTCCCTATGTGCTTTATATCTTTAACCCATCAAGAAAGAATTATAAAGAAGGAAGGTGTTCCCTTATATACACCACAGAGAATGTGATCCGAGCCAGTCTTATAGTTGGCTCTTTACTTGTGAGTTTAAGCTGCAACTGTCTACTCACTTTGTACATCTGATATAACATACTTTACCATTAGATATTGTTTCTTTCATGTATACCATTGTATTGGGAATATATTATCCCCTACTTAGGGGTATTATGCTTCGATGTTAGACAAAGAAAGAAACGAGAAAAGATGGAACCTTTAATGACTGGTACCCCCGTGTGGGGGATGACCCCTGTATAAAGTAGAATAAAGAAAATGAGAATTGAAGGTAACAGTACTAAATGGTTAAAAAGCCAGGGAATCACTTTGATAGTATGGTGGATAAAGAAATGTATGGAATAAAACGTCACTTTTAATCTTGTAGCTAAAAAACCCTTAAATATAAGAGCTAGAAATATATCATTTAGACACACAAACACTAATTAAGGAAAATTAAGGTGAATAAGATAAAATCAAAATTGTGTAAATTGTAATGTCCAGAGATCGTCCTATAAAAGGATTTAACAATAATATCTGCAGTTTAATACTGACAGGTAAGACTGGAATACGATTATTATAGAGGTTCTTCAATGTTACCTAAGTGGACAAAAGTAAGCCACTGAGAACAGGGCTGTTTAAGTGTGGATAGTGGCAGGCTGTAGAGCTTTAGAAATAAGAAAAAATATATACTGCAGATCTCCCAGAGAGGAGAAAGGATCTGCAAGTGATTGCTACAAAAGTATCAGGTAGCCCGTTTTAATTTGCTATATGCTGGTAGAAGACCTTTGGGTGCTCTAAACAGATCATTAATGCCCCATAACGATTTCCCAGGTGCAATATGCAGTATGCTGGTGTATAGCCTTAGAGTGCTTAACATAAATTAGCATCTCATGTTATACTGAAAAACATAACAGGTTACACAGACAGGGTATAGGGAGGGAGAAAAAGTAGTTGTAATATAAATCTCCTACTGTGCCTTCAAGGGCACCCCGTGCACAAACAGTTTCTAGTGGGTTTTTCTTTTCGACTTACCCCTTTAAACAATACTTTATATTACCTAGTTTTAAATATACAAAGCAGCTTGCAAAATCTACAGATCTTTTGTCATCGCCTTTGCAAGTCCTTTCCTTGTAACCCAGCCCATACTTACTGTGGCTGTCCAATCACAGACTTCCCAATGTAAATGAGCAGTTTTTGGAAGGCAGGTATACTGGACAATAACCTGTTGTCTGCTTGAAAGTCAGGAGGTGTAACCAGCTTAATTTATAAAAGTATCAACTTCAATGAAATCTGCACATTTTGTAAAATGTAAAAAAGAGGACACACTCTTCATACATAAAGCTTATCAGCAAGCAAAAATGGGCTTTAGGAGTCTCTGGCGTATCCCTTTAATCTTCCCGTAACAGGCATGTTCTGTTAGTTTATTGCAGGCTCTTCCTTTGAGATTTTCTGGAAATTTGACAATTGGGCATTTTCTTATACATATTTTACACGGACAACCATTATAAAGTCAAATTTTAAAAATATCAAAATAATCAAAATGTTTGGGAAGCTAGTGATGGGTGAGGATGTTTTAGCAGAATGAGGCCAAATGTTTTTTTTTTTATTTGTTTCAAAACCTGGGACACATTTAAATTATACGACTCTCCATTTAATAACAGATGTCAGGTATTTCTCCTGACTTTACAAAAGGATTGTAAACTGTAATTGTTGTACTTATTTCCATATTATTCCAATGCGATTCTCTCTTACACACCACTCCATTGGGTCTTTGTAATATGTTCTGTTCACAGGTCAGCATCATTCAGAATTCACTATAAATCAGCCTGAGGAATCCTCAGCCCCAGTAGGAGGCTCAGCCACCATTACCTGCTCATACAATACTCCCATAAAGAAAACACCCATAAACGCTGTGATTTACTGGAGAGCTAGCGGTCATGATGGACCTATAGCATATCACCCCTCCACATGGATGGTTCATCCTACTTACAGAGGAAGGACAAATGTGACCCAGCAAGCAGATCTACAGATAACGGGGGTACAACACACAGACAGCTCTGTATATTACTGCTTGGTGACTCTCAAATTCTGTGTTGGCAATGGTGTAATTAAGAATTCTATCAGCTGTGGAAATGGAACCAGACTGAGCGTAACAGGTGAGCTCACACACACACAAAAAATGTGCAATATAATTATAATATATAATTTTTAGTCAAAGGTTTGTTTGTCTAGGATCTCTAAGTAGCCCCTGTCTTCTAGGGTAAGCTGCAACTCTTGATCTATGTATTATTTTCTTTAACACTTCAACAAGTGAAACTAAAACAAACAAAATGAATATAAGACTCTGAGTGAACTGACTCAGGCTGCTCTTACATACACTATTAATCAGGTAAGTAATTGGCAACTGCAGAGACTCCACTAATCAGTGCAATACCTTACCTGTATCCTTCCATGGGAATTTAAACCTTAGAAGGGAGAGGTAGAATTTTCCAAAGCATGTCTTATAGCCCTTCCATCCACAATTACACCACATTTCCTTTCACATTTCCTTTCACATATCCTCCCCCCAGCTCATTACCTCTGGGATGAGAGACCATGGAAGTCAAGGAATGACCCCTGAAAGTCCATTAGCATATCCCTGTTTCAGACCTACCCTATGTTCCACAGTACAACGAAAGCACCTGGCTACTGGCTTCCTTTCTAACAGGTATTACTAAAGAGTATCTAAAGCCCACTTAATTACCAGACACTCTTTCTCCACTATAGATTACTTTCTTGTGGGCTTAACTTTCTGCTCAAAAAATATATGTGATATTCATGGGAAAGGATAGATCCTAAGCCAACATGTGAAGCATCCATCTTTACAATAAATTCTCTAGAAAAATCTGGTAAAGATAGTGTAACGGATCACCTGGCACCCCGACTGGGTACCTCCGTTGATGGATGCTCCAAGTTCTTCTTGAAGGCTCCAAGCACTCTAGTCGACACCACAACCACCGCAAGCAGAATCTCTCTTCCTTCCGAGCGAAGCAGGAATGTTTTAGCAGAATGAGGCCAAATGTTTTTTTTTTATTTGTTTCAAAACCTGGGACACATTTAAATTATACGACTCTCCATTTAATAACAGATGTCAGGTATTTCTCCTGACTTTACAAAAGGATTGTAAACTGTAATTGTTGTACTTATTTCCATATTATTCCAATGCGATGCTCTCTTACACACCACTCCATTGGGTCTTTGTAATATGTTCTGTTCACAGGTCAGCATCATTCAGAAATCACTATAAATCAGCCTGAGGAATCCTCAGTCCCAGTAGGAGGCTCAGCCACCATTACCTGCTCATACAATACTCCCATAAAGAAAACACCCATAAACGCTGTGATTTACTGGAGAGCTGGCAGCCATGATGGACCTATAGCATATCACCCCTCCACATGGATGGTTCATCCCACTTACAGAGGAAGGACAAATGTGACCCAGCAAGCAGATCTACAGATAACGGGGGTACAACACACAGACAGCTCTGTATATTACTGCTTGGTGACTCTCAAATTCTGTGTTGGCAATGGTGTAATTAAGAATTCTATCAGCTGTGGAAATGGAACCAGACTGAGCGTAACAGGTGAGCTCACACACACACAAAAAATGTGCAATATAATTATAATATATAATTTTTAGTCAAAGGTTTGTTTGTCTAGGATCTCTAAGTAGCCCCTGTCTTCTAGGGTAAGCTGCAACTCTTGATCTATGTATTATTTTCTTTAACACTTCAACAAGTGAAACTAAAACAAACAAAATGAATATAAGACTCTGAGTGAACTGACTCAGGCTGCTCTTACATACACTATTAATCAGGTAAGTAATTGGCAACTGCAGAGACTCCACTAATCAGTGCAATACCTTACCTGTATCCTTCCATGGGAATTTAAACCTTAGAAGGGAGAGGTAGAATTTTCCAAAGCATGTCTTATAGCCCTTCCATCCACAATTACACCACATTTCCTTTCACATTTCCTTTCACATATCCTCCCCCCAGCTCATTACCTCTGGGATGAGAGACCATGGAAGTCAAGGAATGACCCCTGAAAGTCCATTAGCATATCCCTGTTTCAGACCTACCCTATGTTCCACAGTACAACGAAAGCACCTGGCTACTGGCTTCCTTTCTAACAGGTATTACTAAAGAGTATCTAAAGCCCACTTAATTACCAGACACTCTTTCTCCACTATAGATTACTTTCTTGTGGGCTTAACTTTCTGCTCAAAAAATATATGTGATATTCATGGGAAAGGATAGATCCTAAGCCAACATGTGAAGCATCCATCTTTACAATAAATTCTCTAGAAAAATCTGGTAAAGATAGTGTAACGGATCACCTGGCACCCCGACTGGGTACCTCCGTTGATGGATGCTCCAAGTTCTTCTTGAAGGCTCCAAGCACTCTAGTCGACACCACAACCACCGCAAGCAGAATCTCTCTTCCTTCCGAGCGAAGCAGGAATGTTTTAGCAGAATGAGGCCAAATGTTTTTTTTTTATTTGTTTCAAAACCTGGGACACATTTAAATTATACGACTCTCCATTTAATAACAGATGTCAGGTATTTCTCCTGACTTTACAAAAGGATTGTAAACTGTAATTGTTGTACTTATTTCCATATTATTCCAATGCGATGCTCTCTTACACACCACTCCATTGGGTCTTTGTAATATGTTCTGTTCACAGGTCAGCATCATTCAGAAATCACTATAAATCAGCCTGAGGAATCCTCAGCCCCAGTAGGAGGCTCAGCCACCATTACCTGCTCATACAACACTCCCATAAAGAAAACACCCATAAACGCTGTGATTTACTGGAGAGCTGGCAGCCATGATGGACCTATAGCATATCACCCCTCCACATGGATGGTTCATCCCACTTACAGAGGAAGGACAAATGTGACCCAGCAAGCAGATCTACAGATAACGGGGGTACAACACACAGACAGCTCTGTATATTACTGCTTGGTGACTCTCAAATTTCCAAAGCATGTGTTATAGCCCTTCCATCCACAATTACACCACATTTCCTTTCACATTTCCTTTCACATATCCTCCCCCCAGCTCATTACCTCTGGGATGAGAGACCATGGAAGTCAAGGAATGACCCCTGAAAGTCCATTAGCATATCCCTGTTTCAGACCTACCCTATGTTCCACAGTACAACGAAAGCACCTGGCTACTGGCTTCCTTTCTAACAGGTATTACTAAAGAGTATCTAAAGCCCACTTAATTACCAGACACTCTTTCTCCACTATAGATTACTTTCTTGTGGGCTTAACTTTCTGCTCAAAAAATATATGTGATATTCATGGGAAAGGATAGATCCTAAGCCAACATGTGAAGCATCCATCTTTACAATAAATTCTCTAGAAAAATCTGGTAAAGATAGTGTAACGGATCACCTGGCACCCCGACTGGGTACCTCCGTTGATGGATGCTCCAAGTTACCAGAAAATTGGAAAATTGAGAGTCACCAAGCAGTAATATACAGAGCTGTCTGTGTGTTGTACCCCCGTTATCTGTAGATCTGCTTGCTGGGTCACATTTGTCCTTCCTCTGTAAGTGGGATGAACCATCCATGTGGAGGAGTGATATGCTATAGGTCCATCATGGCTGCCAGCTCTCCAGTAAATCACAGCGTTTATGGGTGTTTTCTTTATGGGAGTATTGTATGAGCAGGTAATGGTGGCTGAGCCTCCTACTGGGGCTGAGGATTCCTCAGGCTGATTTATAGTGATTTCTGAATGATGCTGACCTGTGAACAGAACATATTACAAAGACCCAATGGAGTGGTGTGTAAGAGAGCATCGCATTGGAATAATATGGAAATAAGTACAACAATTACAGTTTACAATCCTTTTGTAAAGTCAGGAGAGATTAGGAGAGATTAGGAGAGATTATAGCAAGGGAATATGCAGAGCATAGCAATGCCTTGTAGCAGATTCCCCCCCACCCAATAAGAGACAGGACTCCAAATTGATGGTGAAGTAGAACTGTCTAAAACTTTATTTTACTTGGGACTAGCCCATATGGTCATTACATTAACATTGCTGTGAAAACTCAATAAAATTACAAATAATCAAATCATAGCAGGCAACATACAGTGACTTATTATAACATCATTGAATATTTATAAATGGGTGAGGAAGACCAGAATTAACACAAAATGTCTCTCCTGCATGCAGAATTAGCGATATGCAAATCTACCCGAATATGCAAATAACCAGTCTTGCCATTCAGGTAGTGCATATTACTGTTGCTACCAACAGAGGGCACTACACAAGCTCCATAGCCAAATCCACCTAGTTGGTAGCAATCCTTAGCAGTACAGGAGAGCAGGCAATACATCCCAGGGGCCATAGTCACATGGCAGGAGGTTGGCAATCAGTCTTCTCCAATGCCCAGTGGCGAGGCTGGTTCCGCCACAGAAAGGATAGGTTGGACACAGAGCTTCTTTCAATGTCATGAAAGCTTGTTCTGCTTCTGAAGACTATTTAACAGTAAGTGGGACTCTTGCTTTTGTGAGGTCTGTTAAAGGTGCAGCAACCATGGCAAAATTTGGGAAGGACCTTCTATAATAACCAGTTAGGAATAATAACTACAATTCAATGAAAACTTGGGCAACAACTTACATGTAATGAGCTACTAGATATCTAAAATACAAAAAATTGGAATTTGTATGTGCGCTCCACAAATAAAAGAATACAAACAAATAGGTATAATAGTACACTCAATATAATAATGGTTGAATATTAGTAATCAATGCAGGACTAGAATTTCAACATTTAACAAAAGTGTATTGAAAGCTTGTGTATCCCCTAACCCAAAACTAAATATATCAAGTAAAATATTACAATGTGTCAAAACCTCTCATAATTCTCTGATTAATGTCATGCGCCAGGAATAAAAAAAACTGCACCTATCCTCTGGTACTCCTCCTGCAACCGCCATCAAACGGTAACGGCTGAAAGAGACACGCGTAGTAATGCAAGATAGGTGCCGAGAAGGTAACGTAGGGAATAGCGCTCAAGGGTGACTCCTCCGATAGCAGTGGGGTGCTGAAATATCCCTCCTGTTCCTCAGATAATGTAGATACCACACAGGACTCCAAGTATGTCAGGAAAAATTCAGCAGCTTTATTCAGGATGAAGAATCACCCATAAATGATAAAATATAACGTATAAATCACCCATAAATGATAAAATATAATATAAAGTATAAAACAGCTGTTTTGTACTTTATATTATATTTTATCATTTATGGGTGATTCTTCATCCTGAATAAAGCTGCTAAATTTTTCCTGACATCCTTGGAGTCCTGTGTGGTATTGAGCGCTATTCTCTACGTTACCTTGTGAGTGCATTTCATTAACACCAAATCATATTTTAAAATGTATTACACTATATACGCTTTTTTGTTTCCACACAAAATTGATAACTTGGCACTGTTTCCCTGATTAATGATTTAAAGCTGAGAATTACCCACTATTTTAATTCTCCTAGATCCTAGAGCAGTGCTTGCGAACATTTTTCAGCCTGAGTGCCCAAACTGCAGTACAAACCAACTTTTTTTCCCACAAAGTGCCAACACGGCAATAAAACCTGAATACTGAAGCTTACATTTAGCATAAGCAACTCATAAAGTTGTCCGAACTAAGCGTGTAGTTATGCATGGGAGTGCGGTGTATACATGGGGTGCAGTGGGAACACTATGGGACTAGTGTGTGTATGAGTGTGTAGTGGGGCAGTGTGTGTGTGGGGCAATGTATGTATGGGAGTGCAGTGTTTGTGTGGGGGTAGTGTGTGTGTGGGGCAGTGTATGTATGGGAGTGCAGTGTTTGTGTGGGGGCGCAGTGTGTGTATGGGGGTGCAGTGTGTGTGTGTGTGGGAGAAGTGTGTGCATGGGAGTACATTGGAGGCAGTGTGTGTATGGGGGTACAATGGGGGCAGGGTCGGCCAGTTCATTGACAGAGGTGGAGCCATGGCTCAAGGCGACACTCTGACAGGGGCGGCATTTTGCCGTCCCTGTCATTATCTAAAGAAATCATAACCATTTGGGGAAAGCCTTTGCTGGGCAGGAAGTGAGGCCGCCCCAAATTCTAATATTTCAGGGGCGTCATGAGGGGGTAAGAGGGGTTGTCCGGGCCCTCAGGGGTATGGGAAGGTTCAACGCTGAAGTTCCAGCGCATTACCTGCAGTGCAAGCCAGAATTTCAGTGCTCACTTTGCAGAATCCCACGCCATATCGGACATGCTGCATGCTGACCACCCACAGGGCAGCACAGACCGCAGGACACGGAGCTCCCTAATGCAGGAGTTGAACACCGGCAGACAGGAGTCAGGCAGCAGCGATGGGGATGTGAGGAGCAGGGTAACTGGGTAAGGGTAAGTTTCATGTACACAGTGTGTTATAGATATAGTAAGCCAATCCCAACACACTCATAGACACACTGCACTCAAAAACACACAGACACACTACACATCACCCCCAGCACTCACACGGACATACTACATCCCCAGCACACTTCACCTCAGCACACACACACAGATGCACACTTCACCACCATCACCCATACACACATTTCACCTCCAGCACACACAAACACACTGGATCTCCAGCACACACAGACTCTCAGTGTATCCTCAGCACACACAAACATACATATCACTCCCAACAGACACACACTTCATCCCCAGCACACACACACACTGCATCCCCAGCACACACACAAATGTCAAACTACATTCCTAGCATACACACTGCATCCAAAGGCTCTCACATCAACACTGCATCACCAGGACATACACACTGTACATTCCCTTCACACACACACTACATCCCCTATCTCATTATACATCCCAAACACACACTACCTCCCTTACACACACAGTACCTTCCATACAAATACAACATCCTCTATACACATAGTGATGGAATCTACACTGCACAAACATTTACACTACAGTAACACAAACCCATCATCAATAAACCTACAAACGCTAAATGGCAAAACATAAATGCTCGTCATCCAAAATCAGCATCCAGCGTTATTAAATCCCCATAGGAAAACATTGAGACAATGCTTTCCTGTGGGGAGGGTCTAATGCGCTTGCGGTGCTTGCTGGGCATGCGCATCATTTCCCCCCGATGACATCGGAGAGGCAGAGCACCGACTAGGGTGGGAGGGGGGCAGCATTTCTTCCTTGTTCCATGCAGCACAATGTCTTTGGCAGGCCCTGAGTGGGGGAAGTTGTGTGTATGGGGGAGAAGTATGGATGTGCAGTTGGGGCAGTGGGGGCATTGTGTGTGTAGTTGGAGGCTGATTAAAACAAATTTTTAATTTAATTAAAAAATATGCTTTATATCCCCCCCCCCCTTCTTACCTTTGCCCAGGGAAGGGGGATATTGAGTTCACTCTCACGGGAACGGAGCATTGCCATGGTAACCAAGGCAATGCTCTGTGCTCGCGAGAGGAGACCCGGTGGAGCTGCATGCTGAGCTCCTCTCTCCCTCCCCTGCCAGCTGTCAGCAATGTGCCTGCGGACCGGTGAGGGAGATCTCTGAACTCCACTCTGGTCCGTGAAGACACCCAGCAGGAGGGAGCATCGGCTCTCAGAAGTGGGGGGGGGGGGCGAATTGCGGCGCCTCTCGGTAATCTATGGCTACGTGCCCACCGAGAGGTTCACCATCGCTGTCATAAAGTAAGTGTCTAACCTGAGTTGGGAGTCTGTAGCGCAGATATGTTGCTCACCCTTGCAGATAGCCACAGGCCAAGGTGGTCAGGTAAGAATTCAACTGGCCTGTGGGTCTGTGCATGGGGGCTGTGCAGGATGAAGTACCAAGTCGCAGGACAGGCAAGGACTCAAACAACAGCATCGTCAAGGGATAGCTGAGGTCAAAGGATGTCAGAGGAGAGAGGACTATGAGCGTGGCAAATATCTCTTCTGTCAGTCTGACCCTCAGGAATTAAAGCATACATGTGGATCTTTGTTTTTTTGGGGAGTTTTTTGTGCAGTAGGCTTGGGGCACACTTAGAAATACAGCGTCTGAGTGAGATCGTTAATCTGCGGTATTTAAAAGGATTTAAAGGGAAACTGTAGTGCCAGGAAAACAAACAAATGTTTCTGGCACTATAGCTTCCCCCTTTGTCAAGCCCACATGACCCCTTCTGTCACTTACCTGAGTCCAGCACCGAAGTTCATTGGCACTGGCTCGGCTCCATGCAGGCTCCTCCATTGATGACATCAGCCAGCAGGTGAGACCTAATCCCTTGTTTGCATCATTTCCTGTCCAGCAACCTGGCCAGCAGCCCCACTAGACTCCTGGTGAAAAATCCACCAAGGCTGGGTGGATTTATTTTTTTTTTTTAAATAATAATTGTGAGTGTTGAAAATGTGTGTGTTTGTCAGGGAATGTGAGTGAGTGAGTGTGTGTGTCAGTGAAGGTGAGTGTGTGTGTCAGTGAAGGTGAGTGAATGTGTGTGTGTGTGTGTGTGTGTGTGTCTGTCAGTGAGTGGGCGCATCTGTCAGTGAGTGGGCGCATCTGTCAGTGTGTGTCTGATTGTATGTGTGTCAGATTGTATCAAATTAGTGAGTGTATGTGTGTGCATGTCAGTGTATCTGAGAGTGTGTGCTGGTCCATGAGTGTGTGTCTGTCAGTCAAAATGTGTGTAAATTAACAGGAAGAGGTGTGGCCTTGGCAGGAAAGGGCAAGTAAATTTAATTTAGGGCCTGAGATCTGTCATGCCCGGGGCAGCACCATTTCAAAATACACCACTGCTTTGAGCACTGTACAAAGCTAATTTGTCAGTCTGGCAAACAGTACCCCTGTTCGTACTTTTACTAGATGGTCTATGACATCAACAAATGTTAAAAAAAAAAAAAAAACATAATTTACATTTATTACAACAAGGTGAAATAAAAAAAATAATACTTACAAATAATATTAATACATTGTAAAGATGTAGATGTTTAATAAAAGTTTTAGAAACTGGACTAAAAGTAGATCTTGCAAATATTACACTTACTTTTAAAGTCCACAAGTTTTTTTTGTTTTTTTTGCTTGTTTGACTTGTTGCTTGTAATCTTTCACTGATATTATTTGTTTCCTTTTCTTCCCCTCGACTTCTACATCCTTTCTATTTCTGTAATGTGTATAATTATTTAAATAGTGATACTTTTCCATTTCTTTTCTCCATGCAATCATTTTTCATCAGCTGCAAATGAAATACCAGTATATCAAATTATCATTCCAATCATATTTGTGTTTATTCTGATTGTCGTGGGTGGAATTCTAATCTTTAGAAAAGGTAAGAATCTTTGTTAACTGCTCCGATGGGTGAGTTAAATAGTGCTCTAAAGCTTGAATTTCAGAACCAGACATCTAGATAAGACCATCAATTCCCCATTTGCTGCCTTGTCGTTGGGGTGGCACACAGGAGAAGTGTGACAAGGTTGGAACCGTGTGGCATTGGTGCTATAGCAGAAGTGCCCAGGAAAGAAGAAGCTCCTCTCCCTCACATGCAGCTTAGGGAACTGCAGGAGAATGCATGAAGATGACGTCAGAGTCAAAACCATGCACAACATCCTGTATCTCCAGTTGTCTGCAATTACATGACATGTGCACAGTCGTTATTCGGCATGTGCTAAAACCTTAATAAAATAACTCTGTGACACCATTTCTGTTGGAGTATAAAGTCCACAGCTTTATTAAAAAATTTTAATTCAACAATTTAACAATTTAGGGTCATTGTGACAAGTATTAATTATGTCCGACCTTCTTGCCCAATACCCCTGACAATGACCCTACCAAATAACATAATAAAACATTCCAATAATACATAACGTTTAACCCATGGCCTACCAAAGAGGCCCCATAACCATATGTTTAACTGTAGGGGTGTACCCAGACACCCCTACACCCCCAGATTCGTAGCCACCAACGAGCTAGAACCTACAAACCATTTTCCACTCCGGCATAGTCCAGCCTAGACCTTGGCCTGCCCACTTCCTATTCCACCTAAATCCTCTTTAACCCAGGCCCTATTCCCGCCGCTGGGACCAAACGGGAAACTACCTACCAAACAAGACAACCGAACACAAAGGGAGGGTGGGAGGGACAAGTATCAAGCAAGTGTGATTTTGATTAAAAAGGCCAGTTCACCAAATTGGCTGTTGTTTAAACCCTTATTCTCCTCCCCCCCTGTCCAGACATTACTTTTCCACACCCCTTGACCTTAACTTCACCTGCCAACTCTCTGGCCCTGTCAAGGCCCACTCCCCTCCTGTGTTGCTCCATGGGCTTCATGACATGTGCACAGTCGTTATTCGGCATGTGCTAAAACCTTAATAAAATAACTCTGTGACACCATTTCTGTTGGAGTATAAAGTCCACAGCTTTATTAAAAATTTTAATTCAACAATTTAACAATTTAGGGTCATTGTCACAAGTATTAATTATGTCCGACCTTCTTGCCCAATACCCCCGACAATGACCCTACCAAATAACATAATAAAACATTCCAATAATACATAACGTTTAACCCATGGCCTACCAAAGAGGCCCCATAACCATATGTTTAACTGTAGGGGTGTACCCAGACGTCCCTACACCCCCTGCTCTGCCAACCGAAACCCCGGAAACCCAACCAAGTGAGAACCACCGCCTCCACCGGGAAGCCCAGTTGTGCTCCGTCTCTTCTCATCGCGGCCCTCCTCCACGCCCAATAAACGTAGGAATGTCTGATCAGCCATACCAAACGACCTAAAAGAAATAGAACAGTGAACAGCAGAGCCCTTAACAAACAACGCCCCAGTCCCCTTTTACACCAACTTGTCCGGTCTAACGTATGAGCAGAACCAAATGGACTCCCATCTTCCTATCTGTTTAATCCGCTCGTCTCCCAGACCTAACCGAGCTGCCTCCGTTGCGGCCCCAATTCTAAACGAATGTGTCCCGAAATGCATGGGTTCCAGGCCCAGCTTACCCAATCCTGCACGAAATATCCTAACGAACTGAAAACGGGACAAAGCCTTACCGTCAGCATGGATGAAGAAACAGCCTTCCTTCTCGGGGCGGACTTCCAAGAATTCGGCGCCACAAGCCACTGGGCAAACCCTAGACCCTGGCAATTTGAACAATGTTACCAAGCTTCCTTTGCCGAATATGTCCGTCTTTGAGCGGCACAACTTGACCTGTACCTTATCTTCACCAATGGTCACATCCCCCAACCGAATCCCACCAACCCCTGCTTTGTTGGTGCTAAGCAGCTCCCCAATACGGAATGCCCCGAAGAATGCCCAGACAAACGCCCCGGAAAACAACACAACTTCATATTTGGAATAACATAATGCCGGTAGAACCTCCACTAGTCCTTGCAGCACCGCGAATGACACTGGCCTCCTCGTATCCACCGATTTCTTACCCCTCCGAAAACCTCTTATGGCTTGCCTGACCAAGAAATGTTTCGTTATATCCTCCCATCCATTAAACTTAAATAGGAAGGCCAACGCCGACATGTGCCTGTCAACCATAGCTGGTGAAGCCTTCCTGGAAAATAGTCGACACAGCACCCATAACAGTATATCTAACCGGTGTTCCTCTGAACAGTCCCCTCCCACTTGTGCCACCGACACTTCCCATTCGTGCCAAACCTTCACATATGACGCCCAGGTGCCCGGTGCCAGGGAATTCTTTATGAACTCCCCAAGCATGATGTCCCGAGCTGCCACATTTCTGCCGGACATGCCAATCCTTCCTCTTGTGCCTCCGGCGCTGCTTCCCAAAAACGTTTCCACTGTGAACGAGAAAGCGCGTCAGCCACTATATTCAAGAAACCTGGAACATGCCTTGCCCTGAACACTATATTGCTAGACATACATAAAAGTACCAAGTGCCTTAATAACCGTATCACTGCAGGAGATGATGCCGACAACCCATTGATAGCCTAGACCACTGCCATGTTATCTGAGTAAAATACTACTTTTTTGTTTGCGAGCTGCTTTCCCCATAACGCCACCGCTACTACCACCGGGAAAAATTCTAGGAACGCGAGGTTCCTTATCAGCGAGCTCGTCTTCCACTCCGCCGGCCACTCCTCGGCGCACCATTGCCCCGCTAAATAAGCCCCAAACCCCACGCTCCCAGAGGCGTCTGTAAACAAGCCTATGTCCTTGGAGGAAAATCCCGGCTCCCGAAAAAACACTATACCGTTAAATTCCCTTAGAAACCTTTTCCCAACCCCCAGGTCCGCTCTCATATCCGCTGAAACTTTCACGTAATGATTCGGCAACCGCACACCGCTCGTCGCCTGGGCCAGCCGTCGACAAAAAACTCTGCCCATCGGAATCACCCTGCATGCAAAATTAAGACTCCCCAATAGCGACTGCAGCCCTCGCAAAGTCACTTTTCTCGCATGCCACGCTGTGTCCACTAGCTGACAAAGCTTAAGTAGCTTGTCCGCGGGCAGTCTGCATTCACCTTTTACAGAGTCAATCTCCAGGCCGAGGAAACTAAGGCATGAGGTGGGGCCAACCGTCTTATCCCCTGCCAAAGGAACCCCAAAAGAGTGTGCTATCCATTGAAACACCCTCAATATCTGGCCACACCGCTCAGATCCTTCCGGCCCTACACACAAGAAATCATCGAGGTAATGCACGATTGATCCCCCAGCCGACTCACGTCGTACCACCCATTCCAAAAAGGTGCTAAACTTTTCACAATAGGAACACGAGATGGAACAGCCCATCGCTAAACACAGGTCTATGAAGAAACCCCCTTCGAAGAAGCACCCCAAAAGGTGGTGACAACCCGGATGAATGGGGAGCAGCCGAAATGCTGATTCCACGTCCACCTTTGCCATCAGTGCACCGTGTCCCGCTCTCCGAACCAACTCGACCGCATGATCGAATGATGCATAGGATACGGAACACAGCGCCGTGTCAATATCATCATTTACCGATGACCCCCGTGGGTGCGATAAGTGATGTATCAGGCGAAATTTCCCTTCCTCCTTTTTAGGGACCACCCCCAGCGGAGACACCCTTAAATCTTCTATCGGCGGGGACGAAAACGGCCCCGCCATCCTCCCCATCTGGACTTCCTTCATTAATTTTTTCCGCACTACCCCCGGGTGGTCCCGGACTGATTTAAGGTTTGCACACATGGTTCCCGGACCTTTGACCTTGAATGGGATAACAAAACCCTCTGTAAACCCCCGCCATAAGAACCGCCTCTTCCTGATTACCGTACTGCCTTAACCACGGCAGCATCGCGCCGACCTTCACCGGCGACGTTCCCAGTCGCCACCGCCGTGGCTGTTGTACCTGCTGCACCCCCGAAGTTAGATTTTCCTTTCTTAAAACACCTGTTGACTCCATGATTTCCCCCGCATCCGGAACATTCATGTTTAAATCTACACGATGCCCCCAATTTGCACTGCCCTTCATTGAACAGCCAACAGAACCCCTTCTTCTGTCCGGCCGGTACAGCGCTTCCCGTGGCCGTACCGGCCGTCCCTTGAAAGGGCGCATTTTTCTGGGCCATCATTATTCTCATCCATAAAGGCAGGTCCATCTGATCCCACCTCATACTCGGATTCGCTGCCAACCGTTGGCGGAATTGTTCGTCGTACCGCCACCATGCTAATCCCCCATAAGTCCTGTAAGCGTCCCCTATCCCGTCCAAATAACAAAACAGCTGCGAACATCGTTCTGGGTACCGACTACGCTCGCCAAAATACAGAAGGCTCTGAGCCAATTCCCAAAAGTCTTGGGTATCTTCCGATACCGCCGCTTTTTCTCCTCTTCTTCTTTTTTAGCGTCCTTCTTATCCTCTTCCTTCAAGTCGAGAAATTCCTCGAGTGGAAGTAAGGAGAAGATTTCCATGAATTCCCCCTTCCCAATTTTTTCTTTTACCTCCGCTTTCAGGTGACATCCTAGTGGTCCCGCGAAGGACACATGCACGTTTTGCCGTGCCACGTCCGCTATCTCACCACCCCCGACCACCTGTTGGCCAGACCCGACTGCCTTTCCGGTTCCCGACCCACCGTCCCCCGTTTCGACGGCACCCGACTTGTGTGTCACCATCCTCTCCGCCCCTTGTTCTTTATCTCCCCCGTCCTCTGGCGACCATACCCTACCAAACTGCGGGGTTGACCCCTCATCTCCCGCCCAGGAGTTAATGAAAGATTTTAAGCAACCCAATAAGGACCCAGTGTGTGGTGTACTTCGTGACTCACCGCCAGTGCCCCCGACCGGCCGGCCGCAGGGTTGCTGTCCTTCCGTCCGCCATTTCAGGCTCCGGAGACTCCTGTTGCCGCCGACTCCTTTCCGCCTGGCCTCTCCTCGGGACCGTAGGTGTCACGCTCCTCGACCTGCCGGGAAAATATAACCTGGGTAGTCTGTCCACGTGTTGTCCTACCCGCCTTTCCTCCCGGCGTTCCTTCCTCCTGTCACTATCGCTACGCTGTCTCGCTGCCTGACCGTCCCGGCCGTAAGACCTCCTCTGCTGGTCCTTTAAACTCCCGCCCGATGAACTGGAAGCACTGCGCCTACATCTTAGCCTCCGTTCCCTGGTGCATGACCTCTGCCTGCTCCGGTGGCTCCTGGACTGGCTCCTGTCCCTGCTCCTCCCCTGCTCTGCTGACCTCCTCTGGGTGCTGCTCCTGTCCCCTTCACTGCGCCGCTCGCTACTCACTCCTCGCCTCCTGGCCCAGCTCCTGTCCTGCTGCACCTGAGAGCGGCCCATAGGGGGCTCCTGCTCGCCTCTGACCCCTCTGCATGTCTCCTTCCTCCTCAGCCCCTGCGGCTCCTCCATGTCCCTGCAACCTCCTGTCGCTGACCTGCCGTCTCCTCTCCTCTCATCCCGGCAACTTCCTGAGGGCAGGGATTCACCCCCCCTCGCAATTCCCGTCTGCCCGGAGACGCTGCTGCCCCTGTCACCGCTACCTGTCCTGGACCTATTCCCTGTGAGGGTTAAGCCCGTCCCTGACCTGCCATCTGCCTCTCCACCTGTCACCTGAGGGGGCGCTGGCGTCGAGCTGTCCTCAAGCACCCCATCCTCCTGCCCCTCAGTATCGCCACTAGGGGCGGACTCACCGGGGCGCTGAAGTTCCGGACCATCACGGCCCTGCTGCCTGGCTGCCATCCCAGCTGTACAGGATCCAGCCGTGTCCTTCTGCCTCCCGCCCGCAGACTTGCGGCGGGGCCTTCTCCCACCGGCGGGCTTCCGACTAGCGCCCGCCCGGCGCACTCCGACTCTTGAGGCCCGTCCTTCCGCCTGGGCCGCCTTTTCCCCACTTTGCGGCGCTGGACTCCTCCTCCTCCTTGCCGCTGGCGGTGCTCCCGGGCTGAGTCGTTGGGGCGGACGTGCCCTCCTGGTCGGCCTCCTCTCCGACACCGCAGTGGGGGGAGCAGACGTGCTCGGGACCCCCAGTTGATCCTGCAGCCACGCCATCCCCTTCTCTTCCACCATTCTTCTCACACCGGCCAAGATTTCTTCGGCAGAAGCCATCCCTGCAAGAAAAAGAACAGACCACACAAACCTGACAAGTATCAAGTAAGTGTGATTTTGATTAAAAAGGCCAGTTCACCAAATTGGCTGTTGTTTAAACCCTTATTCTCCTCCCCCCCTGTCCAGACATTACTTTTCCACACCCCTTGACCTTAACTTCACCTGCCAACTCTCTGGCCCTGTCAAGGCCCACTCCCCTCCTGTGTTGCTCCATGGGCTTCAGGAGAACAAGTGATAACAATGAGAAGGCACAGAAGAGAACAAGTGAGCAAAGGGGAATAATTGGTGTGGAAAATAGGAGAACAATATTGTGAGGTAGAGGGACAGAAGAGCAGAATAGGTGATTGAAGGTGGGAGAGAAAAAAAGAAACAAGGGAGGGACAGAGAACAAAAAGTGAGAAATCAGATTAATGAAGATTGGTAAAACTAACGAGTGGGAATAAAGAAGAGGGATTCACATAACAAATCACGTAACAAATGAAGGATGGAGAAAAGAAGAGGGGTACAAGTGAGGGACAGGGGAAATATTAGGGGTACAAGTGAGGTATTGGGATAAAGAAGAGGTGTACAAGCTAAGAGTGACGTACAAGTGAGGGAAGAGGGGAATGAGAAGAGGGGAGCAATTGGAGAAAGAGGGTTATGGGTTGAGGGGCATAATTGGGGAAAGGGAGAGAGGAACACATGTGAGAAAGAAATAAGTGAATAGAGTGGGGTAGAGAAAGATGAACAGGGGCAAATAGGAATTGGAAACACAAACACACTTACACATGCACACTAAATACCCCTACATGCACAAGAAAACTTCACACAAATATGATCCTGCATACGCACACACACTGGAACTCTATGAAACACACTAGCACTCTAAGCAAATGCACCCATTATTCACATGCAGTCACTATCATTTCACACAAATATGTTCCTACATACAAATTGCCATTCAGACACCTAACCAGTCACATACTCTGAACCGGTCATATTCCCCTATCCACCCAGTCAGTCCCATCTCACCTCCCAGTTATACATACGTTATACATACGTCACATTCGCACACTAAGCCAAATAGCATGTCACTTACTCCCCACCCACCTGGCACTTATTACCATCTGACCACCTGCCTAGTCATAATTCCCATACCGTCATACTGCAAACTACTCACATTCCTCCATCACATAACCCAAACTAGTCCCATTTATCCAACCAATCACAAAACCCAAACACCAAACTTCTTATATATGACATGCCAGGGTGTATTGAGGAAACTGGCCGTGGGCAGCATAGAGGGTATATGCAGCCCTGCATCCAGGTGCAAAAAGTAGATAAATGGTACGAATGTATCCAATCTTGCAAACTTCATAGGGTGACGGAGCTTTGCCATTGTCCTTTAGTTGCCTTCAGGATGTTTTTATTTACTTTTTTAGAAAGTGTTTTTTTTTTAACAGGAATAGAAAAGTCAAGCACAGGCAGTACACACCTAGCATTATAAGTTGTTCATTTAGCATAAATATAACATAGATGACCATCATCAGTTTTTACAGGAATGGGTTGGGTGCTTGAATTGTGTCACTATACACAAATGCCAGTAATAATAATAATAATACAAGTGAACAAATAGATATCTAGATTCATTCTCTACTAGCATTCCCTTAGCAGTTTAACCCCTTAAGGACCAAACTTCTGGAATGAAAGGGAATCATGACATGTCACACGTCATGTGTCCTTAAGGGGTTAATCTTGTTTCTATGGGACTTTATTCTAAAAATCTAAATCAAGTTATGAATTATAAATGTTTTTAGTATATCAATGCCAATGTAAGGAGCTAAGAGTGACGTCTACTAAATTGCACGTATTGTCTTCATGGTAAAATAACCATTTGGCTTAGCATTGCTGGATTTTTTGGAATGTACCTTTTATTGGACAGGAAGTCCACTCTTTAATCCTCTATAATGGTGTGAAAACCATAGAGTATCCATACGGATACCTGTAACTGATTAACAATAAATTTGCTGTAGTATTGTCAAGTAATATAAAAACAGAGTTATGATGAATAAGTATATCAATATTTAATAAATAAATGAATCAATAGCATTAAAACACACTAAAATTTCATACTTATATAGATAAAAAAGGGGTCTTTTAAATCCCAAAGACGTATATTAACCCTTTCAGTCACAGAGGTTTTTAACATGTGATTCTTGTGTGAATGAAAGCGTTAAATAATTCGGATTATCTGAAGGATAAGGATGGTGTAACGGACCGTTTTGCACACAAGGGGTAAAAAAACGTTTAGGCGATCGGCCCCCTTTCCCGAGATACAGGCACAGCTACTGCAGAACACCAAACTCCCGAACTGGATACAAAATAGCACTCCAACTCCCGAACTGGAACCTCCCAAATAGCTGCTAGCAGACGAACAGGAAAAGCAGACAATCAGCTTACACTCCTGGCAATCAGTCTCTAACAGCATACAGTGAATCCCCCCCAAGAACGAGACAAGGCTCTGTGTTGAGGGTCAAGCAGTGGACTGTTTAATGAAGGCTACCTGCCCGGCTTTTATGCAGGTCTCCCACCTGGTGGACACTCCCCTAGGGGACCAAATGGGAGACCGTGACAAGGGACAGACAAGTAGACAAATAGGACACACAGTCACAGTATATTCCCACAATGCATCCTGGCTTCCTCCCCTCTGCCCTGGGAGATAATTGAGAAGTAACTCCCAAGACAAAGGCAAAACTCCATTAACCATGTAGGGACACAAAACCAGTATTATACTTTAAAATACATAAAGTAACATTTATTACATAAAACACAGACATGTAACATATCCCCAGATAGCTCAGGTCTGAGTGCACATTATTAGGTGAATGGCACTCAGACCACATGAATACAGTTTAATCGCCATGGAGCCAAAGTCTTTACAGTCAGTTTCATACGAATGGGCTCCATGGGATTCCTATCTGGGGTATAACCTATTCAAACAGAACTACCGAAAAACTGTGTCCGATTTTAGTTCCATGAAAATAGGGGCGAACACCGCTGTGCATTCGTATGTTTAAAATGGCCGTGACTTTGTGTTCGGGATACGAATGGCGGCCACCCAGCATTCGTCAATTAAACTGCGGTTAACCGCAGCTTCAGGGAGGTTAATTGCCGGCACACTCCAGCTCCCAGGTGGTCCAGTCATTCGTACGGTTGTTCGGTAGATTGAATCTACCGAACCCCAGGCAGAAAAGCACGAATGAAGCTTTTCTACAGGTAAAAAAGATGTCTTTTAACAGGGGGCCATAGTCCAAAGGCAGCAGGCGAGCAACCAGGCTTCTCCAATGCAATGTGGCGAGATTGGTCTCGTCACAGATGGAATATTTTGTTTGGAAGTTGGAATAAAAACAAAAGTAGTAAAAGGTAGCAGACTGATGTTTTATCTCTGATTAGGAAAATTGGGACTTGCTGTTTACTAAATGGAATTTACATGAAAGGTATTCCCTGCAGTTTAGCTGGAGAAAGGGTTAAGGATTTTCATTTTAACAGGCAGAAAAACACAGCAGTGATAATCCACAGTCCTATCGGGACTTTAGTCAAACTCTCTCAGCTTCCCTCCTCACACAGCTTGCATGCAGGTCATGGACTCCCCGAGATGTAAGGGATACACTTTTTCACAGAAAACACAATTAGCAGGAAAAAAACAAAAAAGAAAAACAGACTGGATTCTTGCAAGTCTCCAGTAGTCACTAACAGACATACATCATAAACACAATGTGTGACTAAAGATAAAGTTAATAAAGGAGAAATAACCATCTGGGCAATATATATAATACTACTCAGATAGACCAAAAATAACAATAAAAGGACAGATTAAAAAATACACTTGTGATATAGTATAGAAATATATGTACAAGAAATCTGAATGATCCATTTAGTTTCTGCCATGTTGAAATGTCTTTTTCGCTTGGCAGTACCAGCATATTTGGCCTATAACTTCTATACCCATAATAGAGATATGGGATGGGTCACTATCATGGGCTAATTGGAAGTGGCGTTCTGTCAGAGATTTCTTGTCTTTGTGTAGTATGGCCAGTCTATGTTCCCTAAAACCTAGTTTGCCCTACGTACCTAAAGGACCACTATAGTGCCAGGAAAACAAACTCGTTTTCCTGGCACTATAGTGCCCTGAGGGTGCCCCTCCCGCCAGGCTGAAGGGGGAGGAAGGGGGTTAATCACTTACTTTTCTCCAGCGCTGGGCTCCCTCTGGGCTGGTGAATCTCCTCCTCCTTCGGTCGTCATTGGCTGAATGTGCATGCGCGGCAGGAGCCATGCGCGCATTCAGCCGCGAGAGCATTCAGCCAGTCCATAGGAAAGCATTCTAAATGCTTTCCTATGGACGCTGGCGACTTCTCACTCTGAAAATCACAGTGAGAAGCGCGGAAGCGCCTCTAGTGACTGTCAATGAGACAATGTCACATATTCATCCGCTTATAGAAATGTGGTTAATGACATTTACTGTCCACACAGGAAAAGTTGTGCCGAGCAGCAACCTAATCCACAGAAGGGTTAATGCTGAGCAGTAATTGTGCAAATGAAACCTGGTGTCATGTATTCATCCGCTTAGAGAAAAGTGATTAATGACATTTACTGTCCACACAGGAAAAGTTGTGCCGAGCAGCAACCTAATCCACAGAAGGGTTAATGCTGAGCAGCAATTATGCAAATGAAACCTGGTAACTGACTTTGGGGTCAAAGGCCGGTTACAGCCTATCAGAACTAAAGGAGGGGTATTTAGGCCCAGTTCTCAGCCTGCTCAGTGCCCTGTCGTGGTTTCCCTTGTGGTTGTCTGAGAGCGCGTTCCTGTTTATAGTTTTCTACCTGGTTTTTTACTTTGGCTTTGTTTATTGACTTCTCTATATTCTGGTATCCTGACTCCTGGCTTTCCTCATCGCTGTGTCCCTTTCTGTGTTCCCTGACCTTGGCTAGTATTTTTGACTATTCTTTGTACGTTAAATCCGGCCATTCTAAGGACCGGTAATACGTTACTTATTTGTCATCCGTGCTGTACAGTTCTACGTGCTGGATCAAACAGTAATCCTGACAGACAACCACTAGAGGGTGGATTAACCCATATCTAAACATAGCAGTGTAGCGGAGTAGCAAGGGTTAATCCAAGGACTCTCGGTTGGAACAAAGATTCAGCATACAAAAAGTATAGGACACAGCATAATCCTCCTCCCCAAGGACTAGACGTCACATAGTCTGGGAGTCAACTGGCCTTTAATGCACAAGCTCTGCTTTTATGTGTTTTTCCCATGCAAGGGAGGCAACTTTCATAATTATTACAGTATCCAATCACATAGTCGGTACCTCCCCCACATCTCCTCCCCTTAGCTTAACAGTTAACCTTATGAAAATGTACAAATTTTTTCCCAATTCTCGGATGTACCCCAAATATGACCTGATCTGGGTGAGAAACATACTCAAAAATCACCCAGATCAGACTAGGGGTTATTGAGGAGTAAAGATTTGACAGACCGCACGGGCACAGTAGCCGAAAATAGTTCCATAAGTTTTGGCCCTGTGGTCGGTCTCAGTTCACATGTAAAAAGTCCCGAAAGTCTATGCCATCCAGTATTAACTTTGCATTCGGATGAATCCCCTGGTTCGCAGGATTCATCCTACCGAATGATGGGCTGTTCGTGTGTTTTATTTGCCACTTTCTGGAGTCCTGGAAGTCTTAGCGGTGCTTGGTTAGTCGTGTGTCCGATTTGAGTTCCAGACACTCGATGACCAAACACCGTTGTTCGTGCGTAAGATGGCCGCCACCACGTGTTCGGCATGCGAATGGCGGCCGCACACGAATCCCAATTAACAGCCTCTGCAACATTATTGCCTTTCGGTAATGAGGGGCACACGACTACACCTGGGTGGCCCCTCATTCGGTATTTTACATCGTTTTCATGAACAAGGCAGGGAATACAGTTCAGGAACCGACTGCCTGAATATAATCTTCCCAATAGCGGCCATTTTAATCACAGTTCATTCGAATCTCGAAAGTCTTTTTATCAGTCCTTTAGTGGCTAGGTTTGCCACAAGCAGTTTCTTTGAAACTGCTATGTTTACAGCAGGCAGGGTTAATCCTACATGGACCTGGCACCCAGGCTACTTCATTGAGCTGAAGTGGTCTGGGTGCCTATAGTGGTCCTTTAAGCCCACAAGTACAAGTGAGTAAATAGACCAGAAAAATAGTATTACAATTTATTCTCTGTTGGATGACATGTTCCTCCTCACCTAATGTTTGTCCATACTGCGTGACCCCATGGCATAAATACTTGCTAAAAAGTTATGCGTTTGGTACCCTCACATCTAAAGTTGCCCTCACATCTAAAGTTGGGATTCGACTTTATACCCTCATAAGGCTAAAATTTGTAATATTTCTGTTTCTCCTAAGAGTTATCCTAGGATTGCTGGAGAGACTGAATTTCAACCAAGGTTCTAATAGTAAAACAGGCTATTGCTTCTGTAAGATACCTATGATATCATCATTGGATTTGTTAAATACTGTGGAAAAGATAGGACCTTTATTTTTGAGAACCTCCTTTGTACTGATACTGTATTTACTCGGTTGAAGGATGAATTTAGGTTCCCAGCTATATAGCAGGTGTAAAATCTTGTCATGTGTTTCTGTGGGGGTAGGTGGACAGGTAGGGGTTATGGTCCTTATATCTATTATAGATAAAGGGTTTTACACCTGCTATATAGCTGGGAACCTAAATTAAAATTTTTTAATATTTACAGTTGAGAAAACTCCCATTGAATATTGTTTAAAAAATACAAAAAACATCTTCAATAGTTAAAAATATCACACCCAATAAATAGTGCTGTAAATGAACGAGCTTCTCTGGAGTTATAAATAACAAAGCAAGGAAATACTGGTACTAGGGAGTGATTTCAATCTGACTCTAGAACCAAAATGGGACTCATCCTCAGGAGTGTCCCACGTACCGCCACACCACCTCTCCTCTATCAAAACCCTTATCAAACGTTTAAAACTAATTGACTAGGGACGAACTGGATTATACCTTCTTATCACATCCCCACAACACTTACACTCAACTTGACTACTTTTTTCGTGACCCGCCACAACTTATCACTGGTCAAGCGAGCTGAACATGGAACCGCTACATGGTCTGATCATGCCCCTGCATTAATTATGCTCACGTCCCCTCTTTACAGATCCAAAGTGATAAAATGGAGACTAAACAAATATTTGCTTTCCCTACCCGACACACTTACTGACATAGGCAAGGTACTGAGGAATTACTTCACATCAACACTCCAGACCAGACGAAACCCACAGTAGTCTGGCCAAAAGCAGACAAGCCACGTACATAGACAAAATCTGCGACAAAACAGGGGTATTGCACATCTATCTACTAAAATCCAGGAGGCGATACACGCACATTATTAGGATCTCTACTCTCTCCCAGAACTTCAGACAGCCGTGACTCAAAACAGCCTGCGGGACACGATACAATCCAACTTAATGACACACACCTCAACATATCTAGACAAAGACGTAGCTGACTCATTAGACCAGGAGTAGTCAACCTTTTTATACCTACCATCCACTAATGCATCTTTCTTGATGGAAAAATTTCCTTACCACCTACCAGTTCTCGCGCAAGTGCGGAATATTTTTTAGAAAGAAGGGTGTTTAAAAAAAAATAAAAAAAATGTACGTACATTTATCTGTTTATTTCTACTTTATGCATGTTTATAATGTTATTAACTTTATAAAGTTAATGAGAAAACAATACAGTAAATTGAAATTACATTTACTAGTGATTAATGAGATCCTTGAGGCTGATGCTGCAAGACTAAATAATTGATATCTGGTTTGATTTTCATAAGGAACAAACAAAGGTCTCCTCTTCGGTAATATTCAGACGACTTCTCTGTTTGCGCATAATATGATTTCTCATCCGTGCATCAGCTCCCCTCCCTCCTCAATTCCCTCCCACCCACTTTTTTCCTTTTTTCTATTTTTTCAATTTTTTTACCTTCCTTATAGCAATGCCCAGCAGGAAGTCTGAGCTAGGTAGCCCACTTAATATTATTAGCCAACAACAATTCTCTCCTTTTCCTTTTTATATTTTCTTCTTTCTCCTTTTTACAAGTATTCTGCTCCTTCTTTCTCTTATTCCACAAATACTCTGCTCCTTCTTTCTCCTTTTTTACAAGTACTCTGCTCCTTCTTTCTCCTATTTTACAAGTACTCTGTTCCTTCTTTCTCCTATTCTACAAGTACTCTGCTCCTTCTTTCTCCTATTCTTCAAGTACTCCACTCCCTGATACCTACTCCAACTCCTCCCCTTCCTCTCCCCTCATGTTACACTCATTCATGAGCGAGGGCACGCGTGATATGGGCGCACATACGCATTCAGGCACCCAAGCTTGCGCTTTCATGCTCTTACATCTGCAACCTCCCACTTCCTGCTTACCACTGAGTGAACGAGAGATGAATGAAGCATTCATCTCTCTGGAAGGAGGAATCTGCTACCGCCCACCTGGAATCCCAAAATGCCCACTGGTGGGCAGTAGAGACCAGGTTGACGATCCATACATTAGACAAACCCATCACCCTCGCTGAACTGGCAAAGACTGTGAAGACATCGAAACCAGGCAAGAGCCTGGGTCCAGATGGCCTGCCACTACGGTACTATAAGTGCTTAGCTGACATCCTCTACATGCAACTAGTGGCCTCATATAACTCCATAAGATACATCCAGAACATACCCACCCAATCATTGACAGCAAATATTACTAGCCTACCAAAAGAGGGCAAGGACGGAGAGCACTGTGGAAATTACAGACCCATCTTCATCATCAACTGCGACCTGAAATTGATGGCAAAGATCCTGGCATCGCGGCTACAGATGCAACTCCCTACACTAGTACAGGTGGGGTTTGTGACGGGTTGTGATGCCAGGGACAACACTATTATGACACTTTCAGTCATGCATGTGAAGCTGGCTGGATGCAGGGGCTTTCTCCTGCTATCCACAGACTCGGAGAAGGCCTTCAATAGGATTAGCTGGAATTACTTGTTTCAAGTAATGCTTAGGGCTGGGACCGCACATGAGGGGCTGGATAGAAGTACTCTGCTTCTTTTTTCTCCTCTTTTTACAAATACTCTGCTCCTTTCTCCTTTTTTACAAGTACTCTGCTCCTTCTTTCTCCTATTCAACAAGTACTCTGCTCCTTCTTTCTACTTTTTTACAAGTACTCTGCTCATTCTTTCTCCTATTTTACAAGTACTCTGTTACATCTTTCTCCTATTCTACTAGGCAGTCCAAGACACAAGTGATCATGAACGGCACCCTCACAGAGGAATCCTCTTTCTACAATGGCACATGCCAGGGATGCCCCCTATTTCCGCTGCTCTTCATCCTTGCCCTTGAGCTGTTCCTGACGGCACTAAGACGAAATCCGTACATCACAGTTGTAGAGAAGGGGACCATGCATTACAAAGCTCACAGCATATGCGGATGACCTCCTCTTTTTTATCACAAACCCAGAAATTTAATTCCCAAACATCTTACAAGAATTTAAAGAATACGGAGTCTCCAAAATGAAAATAAACTTCTCCAAGTCCTTTGTCCTGAATATGTCCATGCCCAGGGACCAAGCTGAATCGCTTCAAAACGGATTCTAATGGGCAGAATCTAATGGGCAGAATCTAAAATACGCTACTTGGGCATATAGCTAACCAAGAATAGAGTAGACCTATTAAATAGAATTTTGCCCCAATGCTAAGCACGCTTAAGAGGGACTTGCAGGAATGGTCTTACCCGCACACCACGTGGCTGGGCAGCATCCAAATAGCTAAAATGAACTTCCTCCTGCGACTGCTATATCTGCTGCAGGCTTTCCTCATCTTGATTTCAAGGTCCTACTTTAATTCCCTACGTATGGCACTAGAGAAATATGTATGTAAAGGAAAAAAAACCTAGACTAAAGTATGACTAACTAACGCAGCCCAAGGAAAGGGGAGGTCTGGCAATGCTGGATTTCTTTCTTTATTATGCCGCATGCAATCTCCTTCGGATAGTGGAATGGTCCAAAAGCAAAGTGAAAAAACTTTGGAAACATTGGAGGAAGCAGATATAGGCACCCTAGTAGCCCTGATTCAGTGGTTGACCGGGGGTTTGAAGGGGGTTGCACCCATATATACACATGCCACACTACAGGTCTGGCACGGGATAGGGGGAATGAGCGGCCTTACCTCATATACATCACCACAACACCACTTTCAAGCCAGGCCTAGACCCTAGCGAATTTAAAGACTTCTCTACTGACTCACTGCCCAGCCTAAGCTACCCACACCCTGTGAGGGGGCTGAAATCCCTCCCCGACCTCTTTAGGTAATCGACCCCAACATTTATACAACTATTCAAATACAAACAGCTGACAAGCTTTATCAAAACATTACCACAGGGACAGGCACTGAAACGTGCACCCACACTATTTGAACAGACGTGCATTGATCCAGAGCTGCTCTTGCATGGCGTGTCCCTATACTCCATGCTGCAAATGCTCATTCCAATAGAATCACCAACATTTATAGGGAAATGAGAAACATCCCTATACCACAGGTTTGGTGACGGGGATTGGGAAGAAATATACTACCTAAATCACAGATATGTAAAGTCTTAAGCAAAACTCAGGAGACAGCCAACAAACTGCTAACCACTATATGAATGTATTGCATTCCTGACATGCTTTTATTTTCAGTTTTACATCTATTTCTATTTTATAATATTTTTTATCCAGATATTTTTATCCAATACTTATTAAGTATTTTATCTCTCTCTACGTCAAGATAGAGTATTAGATCTCCTGGTACACTTACATAACTATTCATACATAACTATATACTATGATTTATGTATTTCCGTATGTTATTAGTATTTTTTGATGTATAATATAATAGATTGTATTATATGTACAATATAATAGATTAGATAAATAGTTGTAGTTGTTTTTGTCACATATAATGTTAAATATAAATGTGATATGATATAATTTTTTAATATATAACAGTGCCTGAGTGCTTCCACACTATTCCGTAGGACCCGGTGGTCTAATACGGAAGTGTGTTCCGGCACAAATTGCCAATAAAGTTGTTTGCGTTCCAAGGTGGAACACATGCGCACGCGCGGCTATGGGTATGGACATTTTAGCCGCGATGCGCATGCGCGCAATAAAAAGAACGCGCGAAACACAGAATTTAAAAAGCCGGAAGAAAGAAGCCATGTACAGCTCTTGAGAAAGTCGGTGAGACGAAACGCGTCGAGCAGCTTAAACACCCCTATTGATATCTATTGGACAGATTTGGACTCCAGCTGAATAAGGACTGACCAGTACTGAATCTGGAGAAATCGGATCCACTGTACAAAGGGTATTTAGCCCAAGGGGCTGACAAGCTTTTATAGCACAATTTAGACATATGTCCCTATTGTGCCAATATTTTTGTGAGTGTATTTTTTATCTTTTTTAATATTTGTATTTGTACCATTAAATACTTCACTATATACTGTTCCATTTTTATCTCTCTACATGATACCTTGTGTCTACTATTTGGTAAATATAATTACACGTGTGTGATTGTGGCGCCCCCGGTGGTATATGTTTTTTAACTATACTAATTTGTTGTATTGTACTGTTTGGGATTGGGAGTGATCCCTATTTTGGAGTGGCTAGCCTGCACGACTTTAAGCACTTTTATTCCCACTTACCGTTTTTCTATTTTATACATGAAGTCAGCTGACAAGACACAAAAATACCCTTACGTGATGCTACCTGCTATCTCATGAAAATTGATATTTACAAAAGAAAAAAAAATACAAAGCAACAAAAAAGTGATTATTAAAAATAGCACATCTGCCACGCCTTTTATAGTTATAGTAACTGAATGTAACTTATTATTTATATATTTAGGATTTCTTTGTAAGAAAGAACACGAAACGTAAGTACATTTTAGTTGACATAATACACAGAGCTATCTCTCACTCGACCACCCTCTATATAATATACACAGCTATCTCTCATTCTGCTCCTCTCTATAATATACACAGCTATCTCTCGCTCTGCTCCTCTCTATATAATATACACAGCTATCTCTCGCTCTACCGCTCTCTATATAATATACACAGCTATCTCTCACTCTGCTCCTCTCTATATAATATACACAGCTATCTCTCACTCTGCTCCTCTCTATGTAATATACACAGCTATCTCTCACTCTGCTCCTCTCTATGTAATATACACAGCTATCTCTCACCTTCCTCCTCTCTATATAATACAAATGGCTATCTTTCATTTGATTTCTATTATTTATATTCACGTTGCTGTTTTTTCTCTATAGTACTGCCATCCAGCAAAATGTTAATGAACCTGTGGCTGCCGGTAAGTTAGACATGTTAGTAAATTGGTAAACGCACACAATGTGAAGTTAGTTTGTTTATTTTGTGGGATAACAAAGGCGCTGAGATTATAACTGTATCTGTCTCTCTGGTAAAGGGTAAGAGCAACTGTTCCAACTGTACAGCTCCCCATCAGCAGATCCGTAGGTCAGCAGATTGCTTTCATACAGCCTGCATACTATGCAAGAAAATTACTTTTACATAGTTGAAAATAGACTCAAGCCCATTGAAATCAACTTTTAAAGACATCTTTTTATGTCATTGTTCCAAAAGAAGGCAGAAAATAAAATTTGACTTTGCCCAATGTCAGTTTGGACAATAATGCCAAAAAAATGGGGGGGGGAGGGGTAGACAGGGGGAATCTATTACGGCAATCAGATTTTTTTCTTTGATCAATAAACTGTTCTTATGCGTATCCATTATATCATTGAATATTCAGTTTTCCCAAAAAAATATCCATGCCCTTTTAAAGATATCTTCAGAATCTGATAAGACAATCTTTATGAATGGATAATTCCACATCTTAATTGTTGTTTCTGTAAAGAACCATTTTCTCTGTTTTAAGAGAAAACATATTTCTTCCCGTCTCAAAGTATGACCTCTAGGTGTAACCTAATGAACAGGCTGGAACATAGCAGTTTGTACTGAATATTTGTATAATATTTGTATATTGCTATCATATTCTCTGTGAGGGGCATTTTATTTAAAGAAAACAAATGTGATTTTCTAGCCTAATGTTTTTAATCCCCTTTAATAATTTTGTAGCACTCCTCTACACTTTTTTCTAGTTTTGTCATATCGTTCTTTAAAACTGGATTCCAAAACATTGCTGCATATTCAAGGTGGGATCGTACAATTATAACCGGGCAAAATTGTATTTTGTTCACGTCTCAATCCCTCTTTTTATACATTACAGCTTCCTAGGCATTGTGTTGGCAGATCGAAATTGTAGACGGTTGCTTTGTCTAATTGTTCTCAATTTTTATTTAAAGGATCACTATAGTGTCAGGGAAACAAACAAAGTGCCCATCCCATGTGTTCCCTATTAAGGGCTAATAAGCATGTAGGAATGTATATAAAAAATACCCCTTTCTGTCTCATTAGAGATATTTTTGCCAGAAGCTCAAGGAAGCAAGGCGAAAGGTTAGAGTTAGGAAATATAGAAACATAGAAACATAGAATGTGACGGCAGATAAGAACCATTCGGCCCATCTAGTCTGCCCAATATTCTAAATACTTTCATTAGTCCCTGGCCTTATCTTATAGTTAGGATAGCCTTATGCCTATCCCACGCATGCTTAAACTCCTTTACTGTGTTAACCTCTACCACTTCAGCTGGAAGGCTATTCCATGCATCCACTACCCTCTCAGTAAAGTAATACTTCCTGATATTATTTTTAAACCTTAACCCCTCTAATTTAAGACTATGTCCTCTTGTTGTGGTAGTTTTTCTTCTTTAAAATATAGTCTCCTCCTTTACTGTCTTGATTCCCTTTATGTATGTAAATGTTTCTATCATATCCCCCCAGTCTCATCTTTCCTCCAAGCTGTACATGTTAAGATCCTTTAACATTTCCTGGTAATTTTTATCCTGCAATCCATGAACCAGTTTTGTAGCCCTTCTCTGAACCCTCTCTAAGGTATCAATATCCTTCTGAAAATACGGTCTCCAGTACTGTGTACAATACTCCAAGTGAGGTCTCACCAGTGTTCTGTACAATGTCATGAGCACTTCCCTCTTTCTACTGCTAGGACCCACCTAAGAGGTCTGCCTTGACGTGGCAGGTGGGCATACCTTCTCATGGCCATTGGAGGTAACTAAAAAACTAAATTTCAGTAAAAATAGGTGTATATATTAGGTTAACCCCTTAAGGACCAAACGTCTGGAATAAAAGGGAATCATGACATGTCACACATGTCATGTGTCCTTAAGGGGTTTAAAATACAATATAAAACAATCACTCCACCACACATAAATAAGTAAATCAAATAGTAGAAGTGGTGAGAGCACACACAGAATAAATTATCAAATTAGTTACCTCTATGTTCAATTAAAATCCTGTAGAGACAAAATCAGGAAAAACAGACATAAGGTAATAACGTACAGTTAATTAATAAATAAACAAATAAATGTGCAAACTCACATATTTCTGAGCCACTTAAAATAAAAGCTGGCTCAGACTAAGAACGTTGAATGGATTGATGTAGTGACAAGAAAGAACACGAAACGTAAGTACATTTTAGTTGACATAATACACAGAGCTATCTCTCACTCGACCACTCTCTATATAATATACACAGCTATCTCTCATTCTGCTCCACTCTATAATATACACAGCTATCTCTCACTCTGCTACTCTCTATATAATATACACAGCTATCTCTCACTCTACCGCTCTCTATATAATATACATAGCTATCTTTCGCTCTACCTCTCTCTATATAATATACACAGCTATCTCTCACTCTGCTCCTCTCTATATAATATACACAGTTTTTATGATATGCTAGATATGTCTGTTTGCACCAGGGCTTAAAGTTGTCAGAACTCCATTACCCTAGGTGTAGTCAGATTGCTTAAGGTATGTGGTTCCCTACTTACCTCCCTCTGTGTGACTGCTCCCGCCTCCCCCGCCCCTGGGCGTAGGAACCCCAAAAAATCTGGGGGGGATAGCATTTTTACTCGCCGGGTATATTCTTATTCCGTAAAGTATGAGTTGTTTATCCCATTGCACAGCGCTACAGAATTTGCAGTTGCTATGTAAATGATTAAATAATAACTTTAAAGGGTCACTACAGGGAAGGGATTTTACTTACCCGGATACAGCGCCGGGATCCTCCTGATGCTGCTCCCCCTATTTCGTCAAAATAACTAAATAGGAGGGTGCGAGCAGGGAGCAATAAAACACTTCTATTCAGAAGCGTCATTGCTCTCTGGTGTGCATGCGCAGCTTTGCCGCACATGCGCAGATACTTCATAGGGCGGCATTCATGTCTCGACTAGGAAGCACCTCTAGTGGCCATCTGAGTGTCCACAGGAGGTATTCCTCATCAGTAATGTAAATACTGCCTTTTTACGAAATGGCTGTGCTTACATTAAAAAGCCTGCAAAGACATGCTATAGACACCAGAACTACTACGTTTAGCTGTTGTGGTTCTGGTGACTATAGTGTCCCTTGAATATAGAGAGGAAAAAAGAATCATCACAAATGTAAGAAATAAAATGTCTGTATCATTATTCTAAAAATTATTTTAAAAAAATAAAAAAATATGCACATTCCTAGCTTAATTTTTAGCACGGCATATGACACATACATTTTGTACTTTGCAGATTACTTTTTATATTTTTTTATACATATACAGATTGTGTAATACTGCCCCTGACCACATTTCCTAACTGCCATTCAGTGACACTTTCAGAAATGCATTCCATACATTTTACTACCCGTCTCTACCCCTTCCATTTATATTAGAACCCCTTTCCATGTAAATTAGAGATTAGTGCCACGAATAATATGCTAGATTGCCTACTTACAACCAGATGAGGATGATGATGGGCTCTAGCTGCAGTCTGGCTCCACTGGTCTGGTGTAGAACAGGCTCTCTGGAGGCGGTTTGTAACTGTGGTCACAAAAATCAATGTTCTGGGAGAACGGGAAGCAGCTCCATTTTTTGGGGGCCCTTTACACAGCTCAAGGTCTGGGTCCCAGGGTCCACCTTCATGTTCCACCAATGAGTTTGTTCACAGGGAGTGGAGTGTGTAGGGGATGTCCTGATATGTGTCTAAGGGCTGCAAGGTGTGTTTCTGTGTATGTACGGGATGCAGTGTGTGCGTCTGTAAGGGGTGCATTGAGTGTGTGTACGGGGTGCATTGAGTGTGTGTAAGGAATGCATTGTGTGTTTCTGTGTGTGTGTGTGATGGATGTCAATCTCTCTCCCTCCCCCTCCCTTGTCACTCTCTTTCTCCCCCTCCCTCCATCCCTCCCTCCCTTGTCACTCTTTCTCCCCCTCCCTCCCTCCCTTGTCACTCTTTCTCCCCATTCCTCCCTCCCTCCCTTGTCACTTTCTCCCCCTCCCTCCCTCGTCACTCCTTTTGTTTCCTTTACCTGGCCGGACTAACAGGAAGTGCACACTCAGTGTGCACTTCCTGTTAGTCCGGCCGGATACAGGAGACAGATGCTCCCTGTACCTGCGGTCCATGATACAGGGCTCGGCCACGCTACAGAGAGGGAGTGACAGGAGGGAGCGCTGAGCGTTCAGCGCTTCCCTCCTGTCAGCCCCTCTCCTCAGGCTGCGCCCGGGCGGTGCGGTCTGCCTTCATGGACGCACCGCCCGGGCAAAGCTGCAGCCGCCTGCGGCTCTCTACAGAGCGCTCTGGCGGCTGCAGCATGGGGGGGGGGCGGCGTGGCTGGGGGGGATTTCCCCATAACCTGCCCCCCCCGCATGATTTGCTGGGGGGGATGCGTCCCCCCCATCTCCCCCGGTTCCTAAACCCATGCCCCCGCCCCCTAGCTTCCCAGCACTAGTTGCCTCTGGCATCAAAGCCAAATAGTGACAGATACCACTACAATAGCAGGTGTCTTTAACTAAAGTGGCCAGGCCACTGGACAGTCTGCTCATTTATTTTTAAGAACCAGTGGGGGTGGATAATTAGAGTGGGATAATATTCAACTCCCGTCTTTAATACATTTCTTATTTTCCATTAAAAAAAAAAAAAAAGGTTATTTTACATCTAACAGAAAGCTCATATTATTGGAAGTTTATATTGATAATAATCACATAAAATATTAAACAGCGGAAACATATTTACTGCGTTTACAATAAATGGTTTTAAAAGTAGATTCTGATGCCAATTCTGCAGCTTTATCACAAACCCTTCTACTTCTATGATTGTGTATTGTAAAAGAAGGGTTTAAAGGTAGAGTTACATGAGAGAAGCCTGGAAGGTTAGTGATCCTGTTGTCCTCTAGACTTCCATGATCCTTTACATTGAGAGAGGAATGGCATGGTGGTACTGATTTCTTGAAGGGCCTGTTTCTGTTTGATGGGAAATGGCATCTTGAGTATTAGCCACTCTATGAAGACCAATTGTGAAAACAGCCCTTACACTTTACAGTACTCTCAAAAATCTTAGGGTTAAAAATGTTTTTGTGTCGCTTTATTTTATAAAAAGTAGATAGCTTTTATAAAACTGTTCTTCCTGTCTTGGTGCTGTTTATAAAGGTTACTTTTACAGTGTACATTTGGCGATAGTCATACAGTGTACATATTGTGAAGGAGTCTTTACAGAAAACAGCCACAGAGGTTTGATATAAGCCCAGAGAGCATCATTTGCAGTTTTGAACCCAGAATCCGTAGTAACAAATCACTGAGAACAAATATGTGAAAACAAACCTACTGACTTGATATCTGTCCTCAGCAATACCAATTTAGTGTTTAAGGTAACATTTTACTCACTGCTAAAAATTAATGTTATATTACTATCTAGTGATTACCCCGGGAAGCTCCAATAAAGTTGCTGCATACTTCATAGAGTTGCATTGGCTAGGTTAAATCAACTGGGAGTGTTACTTTGTGGATATAGAAGTTAGCAAAAATGTCATGTGCTGCACATGGAAAAAGAAGGTGATGAGGAAAAATAAAGAACACTCGTTGACATGCACTCATTAAGAGTTTACATCACATTCATCCATATTCATCAAACTGGAGGGTGATGTTGTGAGTGGAATATACTTTGCTACTTCCTTCAGTTTTATAGGGCTACATTGTCTGAGTTATATAAATAAACAACAACACAATTGTTTTCTCACACTAGATGGGGGCATTAATGAGCAAACGAGTTTACACTAGAGCTTGGTGGTGTCATTCTTTTTATTGAGCAACTTCCATCAAAGAACGTACTCTAGAAACCAATCAATTAGATTGTAGTGGTGGAAAGTGATTATTACCATGGCAACCTCTGTGACTTTATGACACATCCTTTCTACACTACTCTGGACGGTGATAATTTACATCACTAGTACTGTGTAGCCATTTGGTATTAACTGTAATTCCAGACTGCAGGAGACTACCATTCTCACTGGGTGGTTTATCTGAGGTGATGGCATGGAAGTCCCCCCTCTACTCCCCACCTTTATTCTCACATTCTAAACTAAGCATTGGGAATATTTGCATTATATAAGGATGAGAATAAGCAATGAGCAATGAATAATCAAATGGTTTTCAGTGCAGAGCAAATTACACACATGGATCTCAAAAAGTTAGACCTTGTTAATGCGAGTTCCTGCAGGAATACAATGTGCAGTCCTGCTGAGCCTTGACTGGAGACTGTCACGGTTGCTCCGTCTTTGCCAGTGTTTATGGTCTCACTTTCTAATGCACTGGATACAGCTGGGATGGAGGTGCTTCTGATATTGACAACTCCAGTCCATCCCTTTTCTGAGCCTCTGGAATACTGCAACATCTATAAAAAAAGCTGCATGCTGCACAAGAGTGGGCTCTGTTAGTTAGTAGCCAATCACAGGTATCCCCATAAGGTGATCAATTAATTAATAAGGAGATCAATTAATTAATTAATTACAGACACTAAGCATGCACCTATTTAAACCTCTATTTGCATTCCATTATACTGTGTATTACCATAGTTCTTTCTTACAATTAAAGATTCAGCTGTGTTATTAAGCTATTCTATATTCCCTCTAATATGGTTTGTTCCATGTCTATGCCTATTTACCTGGCATGGCAGGTATTTCTCAAAATCTCCTTTTATAAGGTGGTTATGCCTCTTAATATAACTGCCTCGTTTTGCACAATTCGTCTATTTACAAAAACAGAAGAATAAAGTTTAAACCCTTTCAAGAAATGCTGTGCTTGTCTGCTTTAAGTGTTCAATGCTACATTAGTTTGTTTCTTTTTAAGGTGATCCGTCCAATGAAGGGACAAGAGAAGAAATGCCGTATGAAGAGGTAAAGAAAAGACAATGTCCCTCAGCTCTTCATCCTTTTAATTATATATTAAGCAACATATAATATTATATATCTTTATAAAAGAGCACAATAATTAAATTGCAAAGGCACAAGCAAAAGGTCCAAAAAATGGATGCACTATTTTAGCAAAAACATTACACTGTGTCTATTTCTATATGGAATAAAATAACATTATCCTATTACCCTAAGTTCCTTTTAATTCCATGTGTCTTTTTAAATGTTTGACTTTGTCATTAGTAGAGTACAATTAAATACATTTCATGTACTCAAGGCCAAAGTGGTATATATTAGGGGATTTTCCTTGAAAGGGTTGGTGGTCCAAAGTCAAACTTATTCTAGACAGGTGCAGTTTTATAAAATATGCTCACAAAGTTTAAAAACAATCCCCCTCCCTCCCCGTACATGCATAACCCTCAACCATTAAACTCATGACGGAGCGATGACGTGACGTACACGTGGTGACGTCGCGCGGGTGAGAGGAGCAGAGGAGGACGAAGCAGTAATGGACGCTGCAATGCTGTAATGCTGCCGACCCTTGAGCCGACCCCTGAGCCGGTGTTCGGTATCCGAGTGAGACGTGAGACGACCCCTGAGCCGGTGCTTGAGTGAGACGATAAGAGCGACCGCAGAGATTAATCATATTGCGGTGAATTATACTGCTAACTACACTGCGGATGCGAGAATTAAGCGAGATTGGTGGTAAGGCGGTCGAATGGAATTAAGACTGCAAGGGAAAAAAACGAAGGTGGAGAGGAACGTTGAAAGGCTACAACGCTATAATACGGTAACAGCGCAGCAACCTGAGAAGACACAGAGAGGCCTGATATAACGCTCTGTATACAGAATTTAAGAAGTACAGCAAGGCATGTGAAGTACACAGCAGTAAGATAGGATTTATCAATTGAATGTAGAATCCTATATTGAAAACCGACCTAACATTAGCTCAGTTGGACATTTTTATTTATTTATTTATTTATTTTTTTTTTCCTGCCTACACGACCAGGCTAATTGAAATCTGCTTTATGAAGTCTGAAGTGTGAACAAATAAAGTCAGACGAAGTGAGAAGTGTGAAACCAGTGATATGAGTGATAAAATACAAGTTGGATTTGTTAAAACTTTGTAAAATACTCTGTAAAATACTCTGAGAAGTCAGAGAAGTCTGGGAAGCAGGAATAGCTTCTTAAAGCTCATTAATCTATATTTAAAGCCATATTTAAAGCTATTTAAAGCTAACTAAAGCTAATTAAAATATCAGAGCTTCGCAGACAACAAATCCTTAAAGCTTTCTAAAGCTGCTTAAAATCTCGTATGCCCAAGTAAGGACAAAGATACGGAAGCCTAAGAATAAATTGAATAATTGAATAGCTGAGATAATTGGACATATTTTGCGCTACTGCAGGTGTACAACTGCATCTATTGTCTTTATCCACAAGTAAATCAGAAAACATGGCGGCAAAAAAGGGGGAAAATAAAATAAACACAAGGAAGGACAAAGATAAAAAAGTCGACTCTAAATTTGAATCTAAAGCGGAATTAAAATCTGATAAACGCTTGTCAAATTATTTCTCTGCTCAAGAGAAGGATAGGAGACTAAGCCAAGTGGGCTCTACTAAACCTACAGAAGAAGATATGGTGAATACTAGCCTTATGGAGACAAATGGTCTAAATTCATACAGCAATTCCCCTCCAAGTGACCTCCTTAATATTGATAGAGTCACTCTTAATAACTGTTTTGACTCACAAATGGAAAAGATAAAGGGTGAGATGCAACTTTTTACAACGACCTTTAAAGAAGAAATAAAGAAAGTAAATATAAGAATTACATCCATCGAAGAGAAATTGGAATGTTCAATGCTTAGAAATAACCTTATGGAAGATAAAATTAATTCCTTGGAGCAGAAAATAAATAACCTGGAAGCTAAGATGGTTGACTGGGAAGACAGGTCGCGGAGGAGAAATATTAGGATTAGAGGAATCCCGGAAAGTATATCCAACCAAATGTTGATTGCTTACCTGACTGAGCTTTTAAACTTTCTAGATATCCAGCTGCAAAATATCCCAATTATATTTGAGAATGTTCATAGACTGCCAAGAGCAAGAAGCCTACCAGCTCATATCCCAAGAGAAGTTATTGTAAGTTTTCATTCTCTTTACTTGAAGACCAAATTCAACCAAGCTTTAAGGCTGAAATCTTTAAAAGACTCAAAATTTGAAGAGCTAAAATGCTTTAATGACCTATCTCTGGCTACTAGAACTGCAAGGAAGAAATTTCTAACTTGCACAGGCAAGCTTAGAGATCACAACATAAGCTACACATGGCTATTCCCTATGGGGTTAAAGTTTTATTATAAAGACAATCTAGAAGCCTTTAAAGAAGTTGATAGTTTACATCAATGGTTATTAACAAATAAGATGATATGAAGCTATTCGAGATAAAACGGATGAGGGAAGCAGAGGTTATTTAAAATTTCCCTTTTTTTTTTTTTTTTTTTTGTGAAGAGAAGCACTAAATAGTCTAACCAAACAAGGGGAATATTAAGTACCACAATAATTGTAAAACTACAAGGGTAACTTTAAAATTAGGGACACATATATATAAGTGAAATAGGGATATTAAGCAGAAATATAAATTAGAATATAAGGTTAGATAGTATATCCTAGATTATAATGAAAGTATGTTGCACGGGGGAACACAACATGACATGCGCGTAAATAATATTATACACTAGTTTTTTAATATATGATTAAACAGGATACAATATTTCTGTAGAATATTAGAGCAAATTAATATGAGATACAAATAAAATTCACGGGATGCTTGAAGCAGTGTTAAGTATACATAATATATATAGCACTAGTCAAATTAACCACTAAGATAAGCACGGTTGACTAAAGCTATGAAGTCTCTTGAGGATTGCAATAGATAAGTACTTAATATATTAGATTTTTAATTTTTGAAACATAAGATTTGCACCTTGGCCAAATGATTGAGTAGATTATGTCGGTCAGATTGTTTTAAACATACGTATTATATATAGCACTGAATTTAAATTAATCACTGAGATATGCACTGATGATTAAAGTTATGAAGTCACCTTAGGAGGGTAATGGATAAATAGTAAAGGAAGAAGGTATTAAATTCTAGTCTTTGGGTAAGGGGGTGATACCTCTTTTTAAGTTGTTATTATCACTTTTTTTATTTTTATTTTTTATTTTTTTTTTTTTTCTTTCTATAGAGTTTTTATTTATGTGGTTCTCGGGTTGATAATTAGGTATGATTCTCCTCTGCTCCCCTCCAACCGCTAATGCGGTTGAGTTTAACTGATTTATACCTTGGGTAGGTTACGATCAGTAAAGGGCTTTGGGATGGCTCCCATGGGAGGAGGGGTAGGGAGCCTTCGGGGGTTTAATGTTTTATGTACGTGCTGTCGTTTTGTTATGGTCTGGTCATATTTGGTCCTTCACATGAGATTGGCTCTATATGAGTTGTCCAATTCTAAATTTAATTAATTTTGGTAAAAATAGCAAGCCTGAACTAAGGGGAGTAGATCTAATAAAAAATTGTAATATTTTCTCTAGAGTCCTGGAAGATGAGTTTACTCCCTATAGCTGGACACAAGGGAGATTGTTCAACTCTAAACTGGATTAATAAGGATAAAGATAGTAACTTTGAACCTTAGAGGTTTAAATTCACCACAAAAGCGTAATATCCTTCTTAGGTTTTTGAAAGATGAATCTATTTCTATATGCGGGTTGCAAGAAACACATTGGGAGCAAAGAGGAAAAATATGTTTAAATTCTAAAGATTATCCATTTATTTTTTCCTCCTCCTTATATGATAAAAAAAAAAGAGGGGTTGCGACCCTCATTTCTTCTAGATTAGCTTTTAAATTTATTTACCAAATACAGGATCCAGAAGGTAGATATCATATATTAATTTGCGAAATAAATAATAGGATTTATACGATAGTGAATCTTTATGCCCCAAATTTAGCCCCGATTAAGTTTATTAAGAAACTAATGGATATAGTAGATAGAAATAGACAAGGTATGGTAATCTATTTAGGGGATTTTAATTGTATGCTTAACCCAGAATTAGATAGGAGAAGCTTAATTAACGATCAATATAATAAACAGCTAAAAACCTCTGCTAAATCCTTCAGTAATTTGTTAAAAAATAGGGGCCTTTTGGATCTTTGGAGGATTTTGCATCCTATGGAATATGACTATACTTGTTTCTCTGGGGCTCACCGGGTTTATTCCAGAATCGTTCTAATAATATCAGACCCAAGCATATCCAAAATGCTTAAAAAAGTTTTTATTAAAAATATTGCATGGTCAGATCATAATGCGGTAATGATGATTCTGGATGATGGCTTGAAGGATAATAGATCAAATTGGAGATTAAACGATCGTCTATTAAGTATTTCAGAATATTTAAAACAAATTAAGTCAACTACAAATTTATTTTTTGAAGAAAATACTAAAGATGACTTACCATTACCTATTATATGGTGCGCCTATAAGTGTACAATTCGAGGACATTTTATTAAGATGGGGTCCCAGGAAAAAAAAAAGAAGGGAAATAATCTTACGCACCTGTATATAAAACTAGATCAATTAGAATATATAAATAAAAATAATCCATCTATAGATATTACTAAACAACTCTCTATCATTAAAGAGAGCATTAACGATTTACTAATCCAGAAAGCAAATTTTTCATTAGAAAAATTACGAAGGACATGGTATTACAGGGGGAATAAAGCCGATAAATTACTCTCGAATAGGTTAAAGAAGGATTCTACCAAGATGAGGGTAACGAAAATCATTCAAGAAGATAAGGTTCTTTTGAATCCTGCAAAAATAGGTCAGGCTTTCCAAGCATTTTATACTAAACTATATAATCTGCCAGACAGACATTCCCCAGTTAATCTCTTAGAATATTTAGAGAAGTTAAATCTGCCAAAAATAACGAAATCTCAATTACAAAACTTAAATGACCCTATAAACCTGGAAGAGGTCAACCAAGCTATAGATAGATTGAAAATCGCTAAGTCTCCAGGTCCGGACGGTTTTACAAATAAATTTTATAAATCTATGAAAGAAAACTTAGCAAATACCCTGAGGGAGATATTTAACGAGTTTATGTTGAAAGGTAATATCCCGCCGGAGATGCTGAGAGCTAACTTGGTCCCTATTCTTAAACCACAAAAGTCCTCAGAGTTAATAACCAATTATAGACCTATCTCGTTATTGAATGAGGATTTAAAACTTTACTCCTCAATAATGGCAAGTAGATTAAATGGAATTATGATGGATATAATCCACAGGGACCAAGTGGGCTTCATTTCTAAACGCTCTTCGGTATATAATGTCAGACGTCTCATAGACGTAGTGGATTGGGCCCAATCGAGGAAATACTCCCTCCTGATCCTGTCTTTAGATGCAGAGAAAGCATTCGACAGGGTCAGGTGGGACTTCCTCGATGCGGTCCTACAAACCTTTGGCTTTTTTGGGAATATAAGAAAAGCAATACTGGCCTTATATTCAACTCCTTCTGCAAGAGTTGTGGGAGCGGGATTCAGCTCAGATTTTTTCTCGTTGAAAAACGGGACGAGACAGGGCTGCCCGCTCTCACCTCTTCTCTACTTATTGACAATAGAAGTTCTAGCGGTAGCAATAAGGAAAAACGAGGCAATAAAGGGCCTTAATTTCAAAAACGATTGCATTAAATTAACAATGTATGCTGACGATATTGTATTAACCCTAGCAGATCCTTTAAACTCCTCTATAGCTTTCTTTAATACCTTAGATGAATACGCTTTACACTCAGGCTATAAAATTAATGTCAATAAGTCGACTGCATTACTAATGAATACCCCTCAGAATACAAGGGCATTACTTAAGCAGAGATATGAATTTAATTGGGCGGAGGTTTCTTTTAATTATTTGGGAATTGAAATAGCAAATAATGTTAATATTATCATGGAACTCAATTTCCTATCTCTTCTTAGAACTACGGCAAAGAAACTAAAAAATTGGAAAAATTTAGAGATCTCATGGTGGGGCCGTATCAATGTAGTTAAATCTTATATCATCCCAAAATGGGTTTATCTATTTAGAATGGTGGCATTACCGTGCCCGGACAGCTGGTTGACCTTAGCTCAATCCCTATTGAATAAATTTATATGGTTACATAAGCCTCCAAGAATATCCCAAAAACGCTTAGCCTTAAAAGTGAAAAAGGGGGGCCTGGGGGTCCCTATTTTAAAAGACTTCCAAAATGCTGCGACCTTTACACACGCAATCATTACTCAACTAAATGATAGCAAGAATGAGATATGGTACAAGATAGAACAAGACCTTACTTCAACTGAGGGTCCACCGATGGAGCTGTCTGTGCTCTTTTGGCCCCTAAAATTACAAACCGATCACAAAGTAAACCCCATTTCATCAAGTGTTATTCTGAATAATGTTCTAAGGGGGTGGAAAAAAACTAAAAATTCACTAGGTCTTTATAATAAGTTAATCCCTTCCCTTTCTCTAAGAAATATAGCTAACTATATGACTAATTTTAACGTAAAAAGCTGGATTGAAAAAGGCATATATAAATTTCAAGATTTAATGGATAGAAACGGATGGATGGATTTCCAAACTTTAAAACAAACATATAAAATAGACAATAAGGAGATTTTCAATTACCTTAGACTAAAAGGCTTTTGTCAACAATATGTTACCACAGAAAGGTGTGATTGCTTAAGGGATATAGGAAACATCCTTGATAGGGATTCTCCAAAAAAACTATTATCTATGGGATTAAACCTATTACAAAAAAACTCAGATGAACCCTTAAAAGCTATAATTAATTCTTGGCAAAGAGATTTGGGAAATCAGATTACTTGTAACCAATGGAGAGAAGCTCTAAATCTTACCTATAAACATATCCATTGTCTTAATCTGATGGAATGCCATTTTAAAATCATAAATAGGTGGTATATGGTCCCCAGTAAAATCGAGAAGTTTAGTAACTCAGGTAACGCCAATTGCTGGAGATGCAATGTGGAATGTGGGAACTATCTACACATATGGTGGGACTGTAGGTATATACAGAAGTTTTGGAAAATGATTTTATCTAAGATAAAACTTATTACTTTGATTGATTTACCTATGGTACCACAGATATGCCTTTTGCAATTAGATATCCATCAGGTTAGTGGTAGTTCAATGCCGGTTATCTTGCATATACTACTAGCCGCGAAACTTTCTATCGCAAGGTATTGGAAAATGGAGTTGGTGCCCTCATGGCCCGTAGTTAAGGAACAAATTAAATATCAATTGAAAATGGAAGCTGGGTTAAATATAAAATATCAAGAACGCTATAACTCCTGGGTGGCGAAGTTGGAGGCTGTTGTTGACTTATAGATAGATGTCCAAAATTTCTTTGGACCTAAGTTAATATTGATACTATATTAAGAGTGACCTCATATGACCATCTGATGTTTTGTCCTGTTATGTCATTTTGTATGTGTGTTGTTTACAGTGAGATTTTTAAACAACATAGGTGTTTCACTAAACGTATCTATACTACTTCAAACTTATGTGAAAAAAGTAATGAGGTTAAGGATGTTATGTGTGTCTCACTGTACATGTTTTTTACGGGATGTGTTGTTAATTGTATTTTTCTCTGTTGTTAATTCTATTGTGTCAAAAAAAGAAAAAAAAGCGGAGTTGATGTCTCCGAATAAAGAATATATATTGAAAAAAAAAAAAAAACCCATTAAACTCATCTTACAAGTGTATTGTTGCTGGGCATCCGTTTGGCGAAAATCATTGATGATAATATATTTTTCTAACATGCTTCTTTTTGTGTATAAAGAACCAGTCAGTGATCTTTATTGTCTACAAGGGATGGGGTTGTGTGATGTCTGATTTGGCTGGTATTATACATTATTGTAGTGGTTATGATGCTGAAAATCTACGGGCTCCATCACCCATTTTCACATAAAAAGGCAGATGTATAATTTCTACATTATCAGTGTAGATGAAGAATGGGTGGGCCATAGGTGCCAGGAAGAAATCTGTTTGCTTTTTTTCAAACCATTTAAAAGTATTTTGACAAAAAAAAAAAAGGATAATTCTCAATTAATCAAATCCCCTTAAGCATCACAATGATCTTTAAACATGCCACAAAGGTGCTGGTTATTGACAGCTTATAATTGATTTAAAGATTAAGTGTAGGCAGATGTTGTTATCCGCACATGGCACATTAAAAATAGCAATGGTTTTCCTGTGTTAGACAAGAAACTCACTAGAGATATCTTAAATGTAGCCATTCTGAAAGAAAGAATAATGAGCACCAAAATATCTTATTATCAATGTATCTACATACCTCGGAAATTGAACAAGCCATGGGGAACAGCCCACACATGTCTGTTAGATTAGGCCATGGTAAAATGTGGAATCTATAGAGAAAGACAAGTAGAAAGTCTGATGAGAGCTAGAATTTATTTTCGGAAATAACTGGGGTCTTTAAAAGCTCTCACTCCACATCAGGCTCTTTCTCATTGGTGGATATTTTACCGACCATCCATTATTCAAACTGCCATACACAAACACGCACAGTCTTTCATATATGTTTTCCAATAGACATGTCCCATTTAGGCACATCTGATTGGTGCTCAGGGGACACTGCAAACTACAAATATTTTATTATAACTGTAACCTTTTTGTTTTGTTTTATTTAGATTAATGGAGGCATTATCTATGCAGACTTGAAAATGACCAAGTTAGATCCTGGACAATCACGTTCTCAACCAAATCGGGAAACAGAAATTATATATTCGTATGTGAAATGATTTATTTTATTGTCCATTTCCCCTTTCTCTTAAGGAGTCCTTTGTTTAAATATCAATGGAATAGTATCTTGATATTCATTCGAAACATGAAATAAAAAGCTATTTACACACAAAAAAATCTATTTAAATATCTCTATTATTAAGTATCAAAACTATATATTGAACACATCATTGTTGCAGATATTTCTCACATATGTAGTAGGATCAGCTGCCAGCATCCACAATGATTTTTAAAAAACCCAAAACATATGCAATGGTAAGGATCTGAGAAGGAAAAACAGTGAATAAATCATGTATTTAAAAAAATAAGGTATTCAATCTTTTTTTAAAGCTCTTTTTGGGGCCTAGACGGGACATATTTGTGTATTAGTGAGGATAAGTAGGTCGGATACAGCATTCTGTAGAGATTTGTAGACAAGTATCAGGATCTTAAATTGAGTCCTATATCTTACGGGAGGCCAATGTAGGGACTGAAAGAGGGGGAGGCGTAGGAGGTGCGGGCGGACAGGAAGATTAACCTCACAACTGCATTCATTAAAGACTGTAGCGGGGCGAGTTGGGAACACGTAAGACCACTGAGAAGTGGATTACAGTAGTCAATAAGAAAGAGGACAGCGGCATGGAAAAGTACCTTAGCTGCATCAGCGTTCTATAGGGATGGATGCACACTATGTTTTTAAGATGGAAGTGGCAGGATTTGGCGATTGATTGAACATGAAGGGTGAAAGAGAGGTCGGAGTCAAAGAGAACACCTAGGCAGCGAGCCTGTGAGGTAGAGCTGATGGTAACACCATTGACTTGGAGGGAAACAGACATGAGGGTAGCAACATTTGAGGGAGGGAAGACCAGTAGTTCTATTTTGGACAGGTTGAGTTTAAGGAAGTGAGCACCCATCCAGTTGGAAATATCAGAGAGGCAGTCAGAAACACGAGTCAAGAGGGGTGGTGAGACATCAGGGGAAGACGGATACATTTGTGTGCCATCTGCTTATAAATGATACTGGAAGCTGAAGGATCTGATGAGTTTACCAAGGGAGGCAGTATAGATTGGTACATATAGGTGGTAAGGCAGATTTACTTTGGAAAACCATACAACAGTTTGGCTCCCAGAGTAGTCTATCAAGCTTCTGTGGGAGCCGAAACCCAGTTTATGATTATTGTTATGGGAATGGTTTACCCTTGCCTGGGGGCACTACGGATGGAAAATGTTTAGTGAGTGTCACTCCACTTTATGCATATTGAACTGCATTGTAAGTATCTAACAATTTTTGAAAGGTTTGACTTCTTACTTGGGGTCTGCCATGTGCCACTCCCTGACTCCCCAGTTAAAGCTGCGGAGCCAAAGGTTTCTAAGCAGGAACTTCTGTTAGCTCTCCTGAGCTAATCCCTGCAGTGCAGAGCTGAAGTAGTTACTGTGAGTGTTCCTTTGAAATGTGTGGATAATATACTTTGAGTTACATGTTCAGCCTTTCACACATTCTGGTGGCAAACATCCCAATTTCAAGTGATTGACAAATTTGCCACAAATAGTATATTATCCTTCTTGACTTCAAAATGGACTTCTCTTCGGATCAACAAAGTTGTTACCCCAGGTAATATTATAGCCCTGAATACCTTGGGATTGTTCATCTGTTCTTTTTTTTTTTTTAAAAGATTGTTTAGAAATATGTACAAAATCAGAGAAAACCATCTTGTTAAGCAGATATTTGTACCTCTAAGTGTAAAGAACATTTACCTTTGCTTTAGGCGAAATCTCTTTTTTTTCAAGTCTAAATGTATGGCGTCTTATCTACATAAAATCTTATTTGCCACTTGGCTGCTAGTACCCTATTTGATTCAGATCCCTCTACAGCAAACTAATATCTTTCACACTGTTTATTGCCTTCCCCATTATAAAGTTTACCAATAGGTTTATAATTTCCAGGCAAAGATTTTTATGACTCTTCCGAGATATATTTCCATTTCTGAGTGACCTTCTGTGACCTTTCCACATTGTTTGAAATTTAGAAAATGTTGCCATTTTTAGACATTTTCTTTTATATCTGCATTCCCTTTTGAATCAAGGATCAGAATATCAGAAAGTCTTTTCTAGATCTGTCTTCTAGAAATGGCCTCTTGGAAAGTGTCTTCAACAGATTTATAGAGAAAACTAAGTATGTAGTCTTCAATTTTGTTATACTGCAATGCAGACACTGCTCTGCATTTGTACGCCAAGCAACATAACCACTACAGTGTGCTGTTGTTGTTGTGGTGCCAGAATTGCCTTTAGTGCACCTGCAGGGTAAGTGTTCAAAGCTTTTGCAAATGGTTTAAAATATAACTAAGGTTTGCCAGATGATGGTCACAATCTCCTCTGAGCTAAGCCCTGCAATGCAGGGTCAGTCCATTGGCTGAGAGTTTCAGCTGAGTGCTCCAAGCCCCCTGCACCTTAACACACCTGTTCACAAACAATTTGACAATTTACCCTGGGAAAGTGCCAGTGAACACCTGGCACTATTTCCACTAACGCATTAGATAGATTGTAAGCTCACTCGAGCAGGGCTTTCTTCACCTCTTGTCTCTGTTATCTGTATGTATATGTATGTTGGTAAATTACTTACTGTCAAATATCCCCATTTCATATATGGAATATGTCAGCATGATGTAAATGATGATAATAATAACCATAATATTTGCTGTACTTGGATTTTTATATTAAACCCAATATGCAGCTTTGGTTAAAAAAAGGCAGTTTGGCAATAGTCAAGATTATCTCAGTGGATTTGGAGACTCGAGTTTAAAATATGTATGTGGCTAAAATGTGCAGAACATTTTGCCCATGTTGTGTAGGATACATGGACCTCACTAGAATTATGAGTGCCATTTATGTCATTGCAATTCCTAATGAATGTCATCTTGTCCACTTGTACATAAGTATTCATTCTTATCAATTCCCTTCACTGCCAAAAAACACTTTGTGTCTTTGAGTCAGACTGTAAATTATGCCTCCTCATTGATTTGCAAGTATTCTTCCCCCTTGACCATTTTCATATATTGTGGTGTAACTTGATAGATTTTACTGAGATTTTTATATTCATTTTGTATTATGATACATATCTAATGTGTGTCAGGGATCCGCGGGCGGCTGTGAGGGGAGGCTGCACGCCACTTGCAGCACTCACCCTCAGTCCTACCTGTCGGCGAGCGGCGTCTCCTCTCCGCTGCGCGCCGCTCGCGTCCTCCTCCACGCCTCCCAGCGGCAGCATGTATAACGCTGCACGCTGGGAGCCCGCGCATTTATGCAAACGCCGGGGTCATTCACGTGACCCCGCGTTAAAGCAACAGTACCACAATCACAGTGGGAGGCGTAGATATCTCCCACGTGTGATTGTTAATTCTGATTGGAAGTTATCCAATCAGAATTAAGCAAAGGATATTTATACTTACCTTTCCTGTCTCTCAGTGCCTTGTTGTGGTCTTGTGATACCTGTATTGCAGTTTGCTCGTGTTTCTCTCTGGTTACTGATTATTTGGCTCGTTATTCCAATTTTCCTGTATTCTCCACTCCTTTGACCTCAGCTTGTTTCTCGTTCTCCCGTTTTCTGGCTCCCTTTACTTGGCTTGTCTCTTGACTATTCTTAGTGTGCTTAGCCCGGCCACTCTAAGGACCGGTATAGCACCCTTCCTCTCTGTGACCTGTTAGCGTGTTAGGTTCCGGAATCGTGACAATATGTTGAACTTGCCAAATATATTTTATTAAAGAACACGTATGTACATTCAGAAGTAAACAGACACATTTTATAACAGGTGTTCTTGCCTTGTTTTTTTTCGAAATGAAAATCCATCAAGAGGTAAGTCATTTTGGGAAGCGACAATTTATTTTTTTTCTAAACCACAAATCAGAAGTTGAAGAGTAATAATTTGACTGCACTACTGGGGTCATGGCTGTCATTAAAGGAACACAGGAAAGACTACTCAATCCTTTTCTTTAAAATGTATAGTGTTCTACTGGACATTATACTTTTGGTCCTTCTTTTACCTGAAAATAGGCCTAAAATAAAGTTATAACTTACCTGGAATCTAGCATGACTAAGCTTTCGGTACTGCTTTCCCGTGGATGTCTTTTGGTGGAATAAGGATCCAGAGGTGACAATAAGTACCAGATAGCCCCGAATTACATCGGGGGAGGCACCCTAAGTGCGCTTGTATTGTCTACATCTAGTGAGTGAAAAAGATTGTTGCGCACAGAACACTGTTTTATAACAATATCCCACTATGTTTTGTTTTATGTTTTTTCTGTAGATTCACACAGCCATATCCCAAATTCTCTTTGTTGTGGTTTACTATATATGATATAGATCATTTTCTGAGTAGCAACCTAGGGAGGCTGTTACACATTTTTATAAGCTAAGTATTATTGCTTGTTATTTTTTAATTTTCTGTATATTGTTTGAGATATATTTGCTAGCTGTATATCTATCTATTTCTGATATGCAATTTTTACACAGGTTGATTTCATAGTCTGAGATTTGTAGGATCCCATATTATTACTGGGATTTTATGCATGTTTTTTTATCTGTCTTTTTTGCTCTATTTAGTTGATTGATACAATTTTTTTTATGAGGGATTTTGTTACTTCTCTACATTAGTTACATTGTGACTGTAGTTGTTATTCACGGCATTACAGTCACATAGGCTTTATGTAGCTCTGTATTTAATTCATACAGTAATATATCGTCTTTTAGGAGTTTCATTGTATCTAGTCCATGTTTTTATACATTAAAGTTTTATTTCCTACTCTGTTTGTATACATATTATGTGTTTATAATAGGAGCGCTCTCCACTTCTTTATATGATTTATCCATTTCAAGTCGCTCACTTTAAGGTGTTGGGCAGCCCATATTAACTATATCATTATCGACCGCTCACTTGGATTTATATCTTACCCCACAAATATCCTCACAGGATATGCACAAAATAAGGCATGATTATAAATCTGTGGGTTATTATTAAAGGGAAACTATAATCACTAAAACAACTTTGTCTTAATGTAGCAGTATTGGTATATAGATCATGTCCCTGCAGTTTCACTGCTCAATTCTCAGCCATTTAAGAGTTAAATTAATGTGTTTATTCAGCCATAATCATACCTCACAGCATGTGACTTACACAGCCTTCCAAAACACTTCCTGTAAAGAGTTATCTAATTTTTACACTTCCTATTTAATTTAGAATTTCTTATCTTCTGCCCTGTTAATAGCTTGCTAGACCATGCAGGAGTCTCCTGTGTGTCTACAGTTTAATTTTCAGAGAAGAGTTTTTTTAGAGTAAGTTATATCTGATTGAAAATGAAACAATTTTGCTTTCATGCTGGTCGTGTCAGTCACTGCCAAGGGAGGTGTGGCTTAGATTGTATAAACAGAAACAAAAGTGATTTAACTTTAAATGAAAGAGAATTGAGCATTGAAACAGCAGGGACATGAACTATACACTAAAACTTCTTCATCAAGCTAAAGTTGTTTAGGTAACTTTAAAGTTTCTTTTGGATGTGACACTGGAAGACAATAGCCTCCTGAATACTTATGGCCACTTAGCATATCAAAAGAACCCACTATTTATGAGGGGATACAGGTTTATGGTAGATTAGTAACTTAGTTTGCATTGAAGCTAGACATATAGGCAACTCATTTGTACTATTTCACACCTTTTAGAGGCACTCTGGTGTCACAGCTTCAAAAGTGGAATTCATGTTGTAAACCTTCTGACACCCACCACATTCCTATACAATCTAATTAACCCCTCTAAAATTGTCCATACCATCTCTACCAGGTAGCTCATCCATGTATGAACTACACAAATCACATTAAAAAGCAATATTCTGTAGTTCAACAATGAATTATGCACCCTTGGCGTGACAGTATTTTGTTCTTTTCAAGATGCCCTCTATGTTCCTCTTTCTTTCAAACACATCTACCACAAGAACTATTTTAGCTACCTACATCATTCTCCAGCTTATCTTGTTAAGAGAAAAAAATATATAACACTTTTTTTTTTTTACAACTAGTATTGTCAGTCTCACGCAGAGACACAGGCGTTATCAACTTATTAGGCAAATTATCATTTGGCTGATCTACATTTTACTGTTCTTTTTTCATGGTAAGCATATTGCATTATACTACTTCATTGTTAAGGTGACAACAAAATGTACAAAGCTATATTACTTTAATAACTTACACCAATGAGGTACTGCCAATAGCATCCTTCTTTTCTTCATTCATTTTTATTATTTAAATGTTTCAAAGACTTTGAGAGCTGAATGTTATATGGAATAATGAGTGCTGTTCCCAATATTTACACCTGAGTATTATTCCTGATTAACTGCATAATGCTAGCATCTTCTTTCTACACTCTTATCAAAGCTTTGTATCAATGTTCATTTGCAATATGCATATTGATTTCTAAGCATCACTTTACCAAGTTCTTTCGCTGCTCCAAGAGATCTCCCCCATGCCTTTTTCTGTATTGTTCCAATTTCATGCACTATGTGGATACAATATTTAATACAATCATGTTAATTATATTCTAAAATGTATTATCTTTGCAAAGACAATATATTTTGTTAGGATTTCAAACTCAAATTCCATCTGAAGAGCTTATAAAAATGACTCGGTTAAAGGGAGTTTATGTACATTAGCCACAAAAGCAAAATATTTTATGGTAAAACAGTCTTTTCCAGTAAATACCCCAGACATACCCTGGCATTACCTGTCACTTTCTGGATCATGTGCTTCTGTAGAACCCCAGTATTTGTGATGGTACTCCTTAAAATCTTGTAAGGTACCCCCATTATAAGAACTTAAGCTCACATCCTGGCTCATTATTTGATGTAGAACATCCCAACATTTATATGGATCCACTATATTTACGACAGCACATATCATGCAGGCAAGAATAAGCTTGCCATAGCCACCAACTGTGTAAGAAGCATTTTATTAAAATCCGGACACTTTCAATAAACTTTATTCAGAATAACAAACAGTGACATTGGACACTGTCAGGTATTACACAATAATGTTCTACTGTTACAATATCAGAATGGGTGGTAGCTGGTAACCGAGAGTTGGCACCCAAAGTGAGCTTCTTTATTGGCTTTTGTTACACTTAATGTATTCTTCAGTTTTCTGCTTACACTGATTTTTGTTTATTTTTTTTTGTTTTTTATTATTTTGTTACAGAATACCAAACTCTTGGCAACCGGCTCGTAAAAGCTTACAGCTTGCTATTTTTTTTTTATTATTGAAATAAAAACAGTGTTTAATTACTTATTCCTAAACTGTCTTTTGAGACACATTGGCTCCTGGAAAATCCAGAAGTTTTCTTGCAGAGATCAGTGTTGATGGGTGCATAGTTCAAGAGGAAACACCCAGGGCGAGATTGAAATGAGCTTGTGGAAGCCCAGAAGAAGAAGCTGAGCAGTGCATACAGCATCGGGGCCTGGCATGGATGGCTCGTGCGGACTCGGGCGAGACGGAACACCAGATTGTCAGGGACCAGGAACCAGACAGAGACAGAACTAGATGCAAAAACACCTTTATTAATACATAACAAAGAAATAACCAAAAGCAAAGTCCAGGAGGCAAGCAGGCGTCAGTCACCAGAGCGGGTAGTCAGACGAGCCAGGATCAGGAGCACGGAGAACAGCGGAGTCAGGAACAAGGCCAGAGTCAGGAACCAGGAACAAACAGGAAACACAGGAACAAGGAGACTTCTGGGAGTTGCTGCTTAAATAGGCTGAACTGATTAGCAGCAGGGTTGATTACTATTCTAAGGTGAGTAACCGTGGCAACATACTGAAGGAGCTGATCGTTAATTACAGCTGAAAACTCAGACACTGAAAAAGGAAGGGTGGCTGTTTAAAACAGCAAAGAAACCCTGACACAGATGGAGCCTCTGCAGTGCTCCTGCACCCACAGGAGTAGTGAGTACCCCTGCCTCTAGGTATGGGGGTACCTGGAGAGCCATGTCCCCGTTGCTCTGAGCCCTGTGGGGCAGTAGTGCGCCGCCCTTTCAGCAGACTGGTGGCTGTGGAGGCCGCGCACCGGCCCCAAGAGTGAGGCCAGCACCGGGAGAGACATGGGAGTACACGCTGCAGAGGGAACAGCGGGGTGCTGGGGAGGTGCAGGGGGCTGGTGGCCCGCGGACTTTGTGGTGGGGTCTGGTGGACAGTTTCAGCCCCCGAGTGCCCACGGCGCCGTGATGGACCCGACCGGTGGGTTGGGGGCACTGCGGAGGTGACGGACGGAGGCTCGGCATCCCTGGGACTGTGCTGCAGCGGAGACATGGGACTGCCATTTAGAAATAATTTTTATTTTCTACATGCTCCCTCTCACTCACTGGGCATTCAGTTACTGTCGGCGCCAGATGGCTACACTCAGTGTTGAATATAACCAAGTTCACAAACGAATATGCTTCTTATGTAACTGCTTCGTCGACATTTACTTTGGTGACTTATACACATCAGCTTCAGAATGGATATGCTATGTTGTAGTGCCCCCATGGGAAAAAGCTTGACGCCATTCATTATTGCCTACTTGAATAGCCAGAATGTTGTATTATACGATGTATATTAATATGCTTATATCTTAACACAGAAATGACAATGCTCATCTAGTCACATATATCTTGTGTTAACTCTGACATTCTGAGAAGACGCTCAAGGAACAGGCCCACATATAGGCACCCTAGTTTATTTCTCGATAATATGGGAACCCATGTGCATTTAATATAATTTGTTTGTTTATGCATTCCTCTACCAGTATCGTATCAATAGCTAAGGCATACATCAGCCCTTGTAATATAGGATGGTCATTTCTTTTAACACTGCATTAGTTTGCCTATATACTTCATTACATGTATTGCATGATCAGCTATAGTTTACTTCAGATTGACGCATTATAGGATGTTATACCTCCACTGTGTTTCTTATATATAGAGCTATTGCTTCAGACGCTCTGATTATTATAGCACTTAGTAAAAAAATTGTTTATTTTTTATTTTTATTTTTTAAGCATACGCCTGCTAAAGTTTGACGCACACATTAGCCCTATGCAGATTGGAACCATAACGTAACGTACATCAGTGCCCCAGTGTAAATTTTAAACCTACATACTCAGGCTATATCTTACCACGCTGTTATAGTTCTTACAATTGATTTCCATTTCTTTTGCATTCATTGTTGTTGCAGGCCTATGCCATAATTAATTAGACGCAGTTAAGAGACAAACGGCTATGACCTATCACAGCCTTACGGTGCTTACTTAATATATTGTAATAGGCGTTGAAACGCTGTTTATGCTGCAGTACCTATATGTTAGTTTGCTATGTTACACGGGTTTAGGCCTACCTAGACGCAGTTGAATTGCAACCATCTGTGGAGTACTAAACTGAAGCACCCAGGATACGGCGGTATACCTTCGTAACCATATTAGCTTATCAAGGAACAGCGGCATATCTTATCTACATACACGATTAATCCAGCTGCACACTTATATAAGTGATAATATGCAAAGATTGCAGATGACCAACAGGTTCAGGTCTAGCTAGACACGGTCAAACTGCACCCACCTAAGATTTATTAAACCGACTCACGCTGTCTGACCATCATTTCACACTAGCGGTATCTGCCTCATACAGCTGCGTGTGATCATGCTCAGCCACTGCCGGAGCGAAATAGGTCCATAAGACTCACAAACCGCTGTTATAAGGTAAATGACCAAGAAGCTTAACATTCAAGTGTAGACAGCCTGGTGTGCAGCATTAGCTCAGTACATGCAATTTATGCTGTAATGCTTAGAAGTGTATTCCTGCAAAGTTCAAGTACGCCTATATGTTCTGATCAATACGCCTCTGCGCAGGCGATAATCTGCATTTATCCCTATGTGCTAACATTTAAGCCTCTACGTAGGCGACCTTTCACCTTAACGAATGCTATAAATTACTGCTTAAGCCCCTGCGTGGGCAACCTCTTGATTTATTACGAACCAGTTCGCAATATGCACTTATCTTGTGAAAACAATAAAAATATTCAAAACAAAACACGGCACAGAGCTGGTGATTAAAGGGAAAATAACAATAGTCATAGTACATGTTTTAATAAAAACAAAGCAATCACACTGATAAGGGATAATAACACCTGGAATTTGCTCAGGGACAGGTAGGTTAACTATCCCATTAAAGTGTATCCTTAGTGAGGATGTAATGGACATGGAACACAGGATTGGACAGATTTTACTATTCTTAAGCTTTGTCAGAGCGAGCACATGTACTTAGTATACTTACCTTCCGCCTCCCTGCACTTCCTGGTTCTGTGTGAAGTGCGGGGAGACAGATCAGTGATGATTCTGCCCCCTGTTAAAAAAAAAAATAAAGTTTATTTAAAATCCCACCCCCCTTTACCCATTTTAATTAAAAATTAATCCCTTCCCTGCCAATTGATCACTGACTACAGTGATCAATTGGCAGGGATTGCATTTTATTGGCATCTGATAAAAAAATTTTTAACCCCTGAGGGTTAATTCTTTTTTTTTAACCCTCAGGGGTTAAATTTATTTAATTAATTAATTTAAATATTTTAAAATTCTATGTTTCGCTAGCTGGGGTGGGTGGAAGTAAATGGGGAATTGGGTGTTAGGCTAACTAGGGGTTAACGTTAAAAGTTTTAAAATAAACTTTAAAAAGTTAAAAATGAAGCTAAAAAAAAGTTGTAATAACGTTTAAGTAAAAAATAAGACACCCCCTTTACCCAGTCCAAATAAAAATTAACCCCTTCCCTGCCAGTCGATCACTGCCTACAGTGATCAAAATACAGATCACAGTATAATTTTATTTCAACCCCTGAGGATTAACTTTTATTTATTTTTTAACCCTCAGGGGTTCAATTTATTTAATTAATTAATTTCAATATTTTATAATTATATATTTTGCTACCTGGGGTGGGTGGGAGTTATGGGAAGATTGGGAATTTACTGTTAGTGCTGCTTACTGCTAGTTAGGGGTTAACGGTAAAAAAAAAAAAGCTTAGAAAAATTTTAAATCTGTAAAAAAAGGTTTTAAGAAAGTTTAAGAAAGTTTCAAAAAATTAATCAGCAAAACAAAAGTTTAAAAACTAGTTTTTAAAAGTAAAAAAAGTTTCAAAAAGTAAAAAAAATACATTTAAAAACGCTCATTACAACTACACCTGGAACAAACTAGAGGAAAAATGATCCCACGCTAATGTTCAAAATATGCCTTTTGAATTACCCCAGGGTGTATTCTTTAATAAATAGTATGTGTTTGTGGGGAAGTTTCAATACACAACCGTCTAAACTACTCCAAATTGGAACATGGACACAGCGTAAAACTTCAAAGTTAGAAAAAAACTGAATGGCTGCGTCTCAAATGTGCCCCTTCAACATCCACATATACCTGGCAAAGTACATTAGGTGGTATTGATGTACTCAGACGACATAGCTGAGCAACATATGAAGTATTATACAGTCGTAGCACACATAAGGTTTGCAAAATATACTGCGCAAACTCACTTTGTGTGTCAAAAAGGCAGAAAAAACACTTATTACTACTACACTTGGTACAAGCTAGCGGAAAAATGATCCCACGCTAAGGTTCACAATATGCCTTTTGAAATACCCTGGGATGTCTTCTTTATGGGGTATTTGGATTATATAGACTGGTAAAATACTCTATAATGGGACATGGGCACAGCGTAGAAAATTTTAAATTTGAAACAAAACTGGAATGGCTGTGTCCCAAATGTGCCCCTCCTATGTCCACATATACCTGGCAAAGGTACATACGGGGGTATTGCTGTACTCAGCCGACATAGCTGAGCAACATATGAAGTATTATACAGTCGTAGCACACATAAGGTTTGCAAAATATATTGTGCGAACTCACTTTGTATGTCAAAAAGTCCGAAAAAACACTTATTACCACTACATCTGGTACAAGCTAGCAGAAAAATGATCCCACACTAAGGTTCAAAATATACCTTTTGAAATACCCTGTGGTGTCTACTTTAAGAAATGGTAGGCCTTTGTGGCGTAATTTGAAGTTAAACCCTGCTAAGATGCTTGGAAATTGCACATAGGCCCAGCGTCAAAATTCAAAGTTCGATAAAAACTGATATGGCTTGGTCTCCTATATGGCACTGTAGCTTCACAAAATAGTGCCAAAGACATTCATTGCGGGGTGTCTTTTTACTCAGAAGACCTAGCCGAGCATAATTTGGGGGGGTTGAACTTAGTGGCACATGTGAAATATACAAAATGCCCAGCAAAAATGCAATCCATGTGTAAAAAAACACATACTTTGGCATATATTGGTGAAAAATATGGGGGCATGTTAAGGCACAATATGCACCTTATGAGATACCCTGGAGTGTCTACTTTTACAAATGGTAGGCCTTTATGGGCTTTTTTTCTTTTTGAACATTTTTTTTTGAACATAGGCTCATTAAATCGGTCTCTCAAAATTCTACTGTGAATACTGAAAAGAACAGGCCTCCTATATGTCACTATAACTTCACGAAATAGTGCCAAAGACATACAATGGGGGTGTCATTTTACTCAGCAGATGTAACTGAACACAAACTAAAACTTTGTACAGGAATAGCACACACCAACTTTACAAAATACACATAAGAATTTCTTTGTTATAAGTTTGTGTGCCAAAAAAAAAAAATTTTACTCCAATATTTAGCAGAGGTTGGCGATGAAATGGCTACGTAGAAAGTGTCAAAACAACCCTATGTAAATAGCCTGTGATGTCTACTTTATATAAATATATACTTTTATGTGGCAATTTTGTATTCTTTTATGGCTATTAAGCTTACAAGACAAACATACCAAATTCTAAAATCGCTCCACATTAAAAGTTTATTTTACTCCTTGTGCTTTGTGACCTGTAACTACCAAAAAAACTTAAAATCCAAGACACATTATATATTCTGTAAATCAGAACAACTAAATGAATTTATTTTTAATTACTTTCCTTAACCTGCACTAATTATGCACACATTATTATTGCAAAAACTGTAAAACAAACCACAAAAAATTTCATTTTTTTGCATTTTTCTGTATTTTTGTATAATAAATAAGCATTTATATATATATATGTCTTACATCAAATTAAAGCCCTTTCTGTCCTTTAAAAAAATGATATGTAATATGTGTCGGTGCAATAAATTAGTAAAATGCAAATTGCAGTTGAACGCAATCAGCAAAAAATGAAAAAAATGCTGTTGTCATTAAGTGAAAGACAAGCTTCTGAAGCTCTGTCCTTAACCCCTTAAGGACACATGACATGTGTGACATGTTATGATTCCATTTTATTCCAGAAGTTTGGTCCTTAAGGGGTTAAATAAAGTCTCCTCCTTTACTGTGTTTATTCCCTTTATGTATTTAAATGTTTCTATCATATCCCCCCTGTCTCGTCTTTCCCCCAAGCTATTGTTAAGTTCCTTTAACCTTTCCTTGTAAGTTTCATCTTGCAATCCTTGAACCAGTTTTTTTTAGCCCTTCTCTGAACTCTCTCTAAAGTATCAATATCCTTCTGGAGATACAGTCTCCAGTACTGCGTACAATACTCCAGGTGAGGTCTCACCAGTATTTTGTGCAATGGCATGAGTACTTCCCTCTTTCTACTGCTAATACCTCTCCCTATACAACCAAGCATTCTGCTAGCATTTCCTGCTGCTCTATTATATTGTCTGCCTACATTTAAGTCATCAGAAATAATTACCCCATAATCCCTTTCCTCAGATGTTGAGGTTAGGACTCTATCAAATATTCTGTACTCTGCCCTTGGGTTTTTACGTCCAAGATGCATTATCTTGCACTTATCCACATTAAATGTCAGTTGGCACAATTCTGACCATTTTTCTACTTTACCTAAATCATTTGTCATTTGGCTTATCCCACCTGGAACATCAACCCTGTTACATATCTTAGTATCATCAGCAAAAAGACATACATTACCATCAAGACCTTCTGCAATATCACTAATAAAAATATTAAAGCGAATGGGTCCAAGTACAGATCTCTGAGGTACCCCCCTGGTGACAAGACCATGCTTCGAATATACTCCATAGACTACAACCCTCTGTTGTCTGTCACTCAGCCTCTGCCTTACCCATTCAACAATATTGGAATCCAAACTTAAAGATTGCAGTTTATTGATACGCCTTCTATGTGCAACAGTGTCAAAAGCCTTACTGAAATCTAGGTAAGCAATGTCTACTGCATCACCCTGATCTATAATTTTAGTTACCCAATCAAAAAAAATCAATAAGATTAGTTTGACATGATCTCCCTGAAGTAAACCCATGTTGTCTCTGATCTTGAAATCCATGTGTTTTTAGAAGTTCAACAATTCTATCCTTTAACATGGTTTCCATTACTTTCCCCACTACTAAAGTAAGGCTTACAGGCCTATAGTTACCCAACCTCTCCTTACTGCCTTTCTTATGAATATGCACTACATTCGCTTACT